TCGCAATAACCACCTTTGGTTGAAACAGCAGATTTGGCTGCCGCATGACCACGGGAGCTAATGCTTATAAAAAAACACATATTTCTCAGTCATTGTCCGTGGGCATTTTTACGCAGTTATAAGTACAATTATAGGTTACAAAATACAGAGGTGCAATGTGTGGCAAAGAGAAATGTGGCAATACATTGCGTGTAGAAAACGCGGTAGAAATCAGATACTACAGTGTTTATCACGCTTTAGGCACCATACACTTTGAAAACTCTTGCTTTTCGATAACTTAATATAACGTCATATTTTATGCGTCACATTTAGCAGTGTGACGTTATAATAGTGAGATGCTTCACGTTGACGTACGTGCTACAGGCTTTCAATGTCTCTTTTACATGCGAGGAGAAAATTATAATTTGATAAAAAACCCAAATGTTTCGCCATATTGAGCAACAGAATTTGTTTAATGGATATTATCGGTGCATCCACTGGAATCATTCGACTCGATCCACGCCACTTCACTCTGTATCCAAAGAATTTACGCTTAATTTTGTCATGGTAGAATGAAGATAAACATATGTTTTCATTGTGGGGCTTGTTTATCTGTGATGGTTATTATCGGTGCAAGATAGTACATTTATCGCGTGCATGTGTATATTAATACCTTCAGTACGTTGCCTCGGGGAACAGTTATGAGTGAGTGGGTCGTTTTGAATACAATCCCAGTTATATAAAAACGTACATGTAGTTTGAATGGATGGATCAGTGGATCCAAGCACTCGAACACAGCTTAAGCTACCAACCTATCCATACTCTCGCCAAGCAGTTCATACATCAGTAACCTGACGCCTTCACAAATGATGAAGGTATGTTCACAAATCCTACATAGTATATTCATAAGATCGTTGAGTAATTAGTACTGTAAAAGAGTCCTTACCTTCAGCTCTGCAGATGGATTTTTGCCAGGCAGATTGGGCGACGAAAACAGCTAAAAGCAATGTGTAACTCATGTCCTGATCTTTCCGTGTTCTTCTCGCGATCAGGTTAGGTTATGCGACAGACGGTAGTCACATCCTAAATATATTTGCTTACCAGTCTCCTTGAGATCATCAGCTTATAAACGTAATCGCTTTTCCAAATACAACCTTCCGTTTGAACAACAGACTGACCTTTGTCTGCAGGGAGCATTATATCCAAGATAGAAATGTTTTAATCTCAACATCAAACAATATCGCAGAGCATCTAGTCTTATAGTAAATGGTAGTGTTTTAACGGTGTTGGTCTTTCTTTGCCTGGCGGTTGCTGAGATATGCTTGACATATGTGTGTAGTTTCCATCGGGTCTGTCGGTCGGATTTTTAGTTGCTTCATGTCATGGGGAAAAACAGGACACAGATAACCTTCAACGTACTTGGATGTACCTGGGAGACGTTGTGTACATATAAAGTTGGGTGGGCACATTTCAGTGTCGCTCTAGGGTACAGCTGATACGTTCCAACCTAGTAACACACGAGTTAACGTCTTAGGATCCCAAATTAATTAAAAAATTTGCTTGCATGGTGTGAAGAAAAACTTTCAGAATTTACTTGCGTAGTGTACTTGCAAAACCAGTTGTGTATTTAAATCTCAACAGTATGGCCTCAGAGTCAAATTTGTGTTGTAATGAATCAAGTACACTGAAAGGCAAAAGAAACGTCATGTGGATGTATCATATAAATATCTTTATTTTCAAATGCTTAAATATGTGAGTAAAGACATCGGAGAAAGTCAGTGTTTGACCCACATGAAATTAACAGTCTGGGGAATGTTTTTGCGAATTGTGAATTTGGGGAGGCACCAGAAGACATCACAGCTGGGGGTTCAAAATCAGTACCTGGTGTGGCAACCACGGGCGTTGACTACAGCCACACAACTCCAGCAATGGAGTGGACTAGCCTGTTGATGAAGGCCATTGGGATATGGGCCCATATCTTCAGGAACGCTGCACGCAGTTCTGCTGCAGTTGTCGGCCTTGGGCGTACGTCGTTGAGTCGGCGTTGGATCTCATCCCACAAGTGTTCAATGGGATTCAAATCCGGACTGAGGGCAAGCCAAGGCATGATTTGGATGTTGTGCCGCTGGAGGAAGTCCCTGGTGACCTGGTCCCTGGCAGTGTGGGGACGGGCGTTGTCTTGCTGAAAGGTGTGGTTTTGATGACGGGCAAAAAAGGCACGATATGGGGTCTGAGGACTTGGTCAATGTAGCGGAGAGCTGTGATGCCATTACCCCTGCCTGGACCAATATTCCGAAAGACCACAGGTCCCACACTCTGGTTAAGTCCGATTCCACCCAAAACCATGATGCTTGGGCCGCCCCACGGGTCTCATTCCATAACACAAGCATCAGCATAACGTTCGCCCCTCCTTCGCCAAACCCTGCCATCAACCGTTGAAACACAGTAGCGACTTTCATCAGTGAAGATGATTCTTCTCCACTGCTGTTGACGCCAATTTTGATGCTGCCTGGCCCATTGCAGTCGGGCTTGTCGGTGACGATCTCTCAGGATGGGTACACGAGCAGGACGGTGGTAGTTGGGCGACGTCGGACTGTACGATCACTGATGGCACGCTGGTGGTTGCCAATGGTTTGCCGAGCTGTTTCAGTGGCCATTCGGAATCGGTTCTGCAGATGTTGGCGTATCATGAACCGATCTTGTCTGGGAGCAGTGACTCTAGGACGACCACTACGCGGTCGGTCGTCGGTGGTGTTGGTGGTGTTGTGGCGATGTTGCAAACGATATATCGTTCTGACGTTGACACTGAATGCATTTGCAACGACCTGTGCACTCTGGCCTGCTTGCAGTCTTCCGATCGCTTGTTGTCTCTCATTTCCTGATAATCTTGGCATGGCTGATGAATCGAAATAACGAAAGCCAGCCTAACAGTTTTGGGTGTCTTTAATACCCATACAATCCACGATATGCACGTGCATCATGTTTTTGACAAGACTTTTCGGCAACTGAGTCCCATTGCACTTTTGCAGGCTGCGTTTGGGCAAAACACTCCATTTTAAACTCAATTGTTGAATGGACTTTAAGGCAACGAAAAAGAAGCAGTAGAACGATAAATGAGTTTATTGACCACAGAACATGTAACTGCCAGTGTCTGTTTAGTTTTATGAGTATTTTCAGAAGTGACGTTTCTTTTGCCGTTCAGCGTATGTTTTTAACATGAATACGTGACATGATGCACAATAGATGCACATGTTCTGTGTTGTAATGAATCAAGTAAATGAATACATGACATGATGCATAAATTATGTACTGTTCTGCCACTAATTGCTCTCAACCCAGGAATGTTAATGTGGCAGTTGGGTAACGGTTCCATAGATGCACCAACCGAATATGGTTGTCTTGTTGAGTGTTATCCTGATGTAGATACCATGCTGACACTTTGCAATGGTCACTTCAGAAATTGACTACCAAGACGTCTTTTTCATCAATATTTCAATAACATTTCTTTCTTTCTTTTTCCATGGTAACTGTATTTAAATATCTATTTCGTGACTACTGTATCTCTTTGTTCAACACAATGAAATTCGGCGAAGTTTTTCAAAAGCGCTCCGTCCGTACGTCCAGGAGTTCATATATTTTATCTCGAAAAACTCTAGAGACGATGTACATATCATTCTTCTTGCAAACATGTGATTATTGTCGTCATATATGGGACAATGCATCTATAGATCAGCGTCCAATGTTACAAAAACGTCACCTGCATGCTCTAAGAAGAATTTGCGGGATTCCACGATGCGACAGTGGAAAAAATATAAGGAAGTTTAAATCTCTACGAAAACGACGAAATAATTTTAAAATGATACCCTCCTATAAAATGGTAAATAAACTAAATCCCGATTATCTTTCTAATCTCGTTCCTCAGTGCGCTTCCACTTTAAGCAATTACAGTAAACTACGGTTATGAGGCCACTAATCACTTATGATAAAATATACAGCAACAAAATACCAGTTCGTTGTAAGCGTGTGCGTTATAAACGTTGTTTACTGTACTCGCTATGCAATACTGCCACTTAACTAACTTATGGATCAATTTAGGAAACTTGACCAACGCAGGTTCCATAGGATCTGTTAAACGAATCCGTAACAAAACTGATGATTTAAACACAGAATAATTAGCTTGGAGTACGGATCGAGAATATGTCAAATCGTTCCCTCGCGACTTGGTCTCGGATGTAGTAACTTGAATGCCCCCAGCTTTGAAAACCCTTGTTGTTCCTGAGGTTCCATATGCGAGGAGAGTACTGCTCATTATTTGTTCAAAATTACGGTACCATAAGAGCAAATTCATTCTGCTATACCATGGTACACAACCTCAATTCTATACTTTATGGTAATTCCTTAGAAATCGCAAACGTTAATCAAACAATTTTGGCATCTATTCATGTTTACATTGAACAGAAAGTCTTAAAATTCAACCTTAAACAGTTTGCGTATCTTTTTACTCGCAACGGACACATCTCCATTATAGCCACTGGTACTATCTGCAAGTTATTGCTATCTTAGGTGTATTTTCATTCTTGATTGGTATTTATTTCTGGAGCGGTATTTACGATAACCTGCACGAAACCGAACATTGCATGGTCTCAATTCGACCATGTTTTGGGTCAATTGAGTTGTAAGACATGTTCTTAAGTCATGTTACATATTAACAAGTTAGTGTGTTTAATCGACATTTGATCCTTTTTTTTCTAAGCTTGATTAAGCAGTCCTCTCTGTCTAACTTTTATCCTTTAAATTAGTCTCTACCCTCGTGTTTAGCAATCCCAAGGGTAGCCCTTGATATGCAACTAACCACACTTCTGGAAGTCACAGGCGTCATGAAAATGTGTACAAACGCAGTTGTGAAAAGAGGGCGCACGTATTCTGTGGACGATCCCAATATGATTGGCTGCGACCTGACAACCACTAACACGATACTGTCACAGGTGACAACGCCATTACCAGCCTACATACCAGCATAATTACACGGCTTAGCCACAACCTCCACAACACACTGGTCCGTGCAAATCATTCAAACACATTCTTGTGATAACGTAGATCTTTTCATCTCTGTTGTGTGAACCAGAAGGGGTCAGACTGTTTTCAACATACCACCATGGCCGGTGTTGTGATCAGGCGTCTGTTTGGCCGGTCTGAAGTGAAACATCTCGCTGGCCTCGCTGAACAAGAAGGATGGACCAAGACACTCCCCTATCTGCTAAAATGTTACGACATCAACCCCTCGGATTGGTGGGTGGCAGAAAGGAGTGACGGCAGGATCGTTGGTGAGTTAAAGCTACCTCAATGATTAACTGAGCATTGGTGGTACCTTTGTGTACTGTTAGTTTTAAAAATCAATAATCAGGTGGATTAATCTGGTGGCTGACGGTCCGAATTCAATACTGCACATGGGTAAAATATGTGGAGACCATTTCTGGTGCCCTCTCCCGCAATATTGCTCGTATATTCGTATCACTCATTCAATTATAGCATAGTTCAATTTGTAATCACACATATTACAGCAGTGTTTTCGTAGCCTTGATCCGCTTAATGTACAGCGATATTAAGCTATTGTTACTGTTACTTTAATGCATGAAATGAATATTCTATGCACAGTGGTCACATTGTCTAGTACACGTTAAAATTAGAAGCACATTATACGCTTCAAAGTGTTCTTTGTGTGTAGAACGGAGACGTTTAAATACACATTTAAGAATGCTCAGTAATGTGCATTTAATCATTACGGTGCAGGTATTGTCAGGTATGTAAAAATGTAAAAACCCAAATGATAATTTAGTTGTTTTTTGTTTTTTTTATTCCACAAATAACCAACTTCAATGGGTTTATTGAAATGTGGCTTCAACAAACAGCTTGCTCATCAATTCAATTGAAAGTTGTCATTATGCAGCTATAGGGAATATCGTAGGTGCATGGCAGGCTTAATTACCATCACGGAGTATTGTGCTCATGACAGTTACTGTATTTCCACTTATTGTAATAACATTATATTCAGGTTACCAGACAGACATCCGCATCTAAGTTACTGTTACTGTTTATTGTGCAGGGTTGCGTACCTTAATCATACCCGGATTTGCTGTTATTATGGGTTTGACAGCACCATGTCGTTCTAGTTGGATACACCAGAGTGCAAAAACTCTTCAACCGGTGTCCTCCCACTTTAAGCTAAAACAACCACCATAATTATACTCTTCCAAAAAAGTAGGGGATCGTGAAATATAAATGTTTATACCAAGTATTAGACCAAGGATTAGCGTAGACGACAAACATGCAAGAACGTTATGACTTTGAAAGTTAACACCAAACACACATCCTATAGTTTGCACGTGCCTCACGCAGTAGCGCCAAACACGTGCGTGGGGTTGCATTCCTGATTTGACACTTTCAAGGAAGGTCGATTAATCTCTGTGGCGTATTATTTCTGTCAATCTTATTGATTCTTCTTATCATTCAGTTGTGGTTCACTTGATTTCATTTATTGTTTGGACAGTACTATTTATCAACATACTGACGCCCTTTTTGTCCCACTTGCAATGCGTGTGCGTGTATCCCGTGCTCACCGTGCACGAATCGTCATTAATGCTCACCTCCAGCAGCAAAACATCCATACAATGTTATGTAAAAGCAGTGAGCCCAAACTCACTCCCCCATTGAACATGTCTGGGACATGATATGGAGACGTGTGCGTCAACGCCATAGGCCGTTGGCCACATTAGCTGAACTTGGCTAGGCGCTGGGAGAGGAGTGGGACAGACTACCTCAAATCGCCATTGGGAGACTCAAACGCCGTATACCTCGTCGTCCAGTGAATGAATGTTTAACAAATCATGGTATTGTTACGCACTACTGATCCAAAAATGGCAATTTCCCAACCTACCCTTATCGTCCTTCAAGATCGTTTGCGGTCATAACATCTAGTGTCAAACTGCACTACCAGTTGCAATATGTTCCCAATACGTTCATTATTTTCATTCAACTATTACTAGAAACTAATATCCCTTATAATTGTGGACATTTTAGGTTCTTCCCTAGTATCCCCTACTATTTTGTAAAAGAACAAATATGTAAAATGTGTAAGTGAATGATGTTGCTAAGGCAGCAATTTGCTTTACAGAGTTGCGTCACTTAGAAGTGCCAGAAACCTATGATCGCAGGTTTGAATCCAAGATTTTGCTCTGTTTATGTTTCTAAGTTTGTAAGGACCATACACACGTGCTTAGGTTTCACCAAATAGTGGTAATTGGCTAAAATCCCACAGTAACTAAACTGACGCCACTTGATATCATTGTTATCCTGTCCGGGGGCATGGGTGGCCAAGTCGTCTAAGGCCCCGCGATTCGCTGTGCAGAGTTGCGTCCCTTAGGCACGCCAGAAACCTATGATTGTGGGTTCGAATCCCGGTTCGCCCAGATTATGTTTCTAGTCTGTCAGCACCATACCCGTGCTCGTGGGTTTCACCGAAGTGGTAAACGTCTGAGACCTGCATCACTTCGGGCTTTCCTCCCACATTAAGCTGACACGCCGCGATACAACTGGAATACTGTTAAAAGCGGCGTTAAACCCAACTCACTCACTCACTGTTATCATGTCCAAAGCGGTGATAAACTCAACTTGCTCACTCACATACATGAACTCACACAATTCTGAATTCGGTTGTTTTTTCACGTTTAGGTTGCATCAAAATGTTCACCCTGGATGACAACACAACCTGTCAGGGTGGAATGTATGTTGTCGACAAGCAACACAGAGGTCACGGGATTGGAATGAAACTGAAAAGTGCACTATTAGCAGGGGTACAAGATAAAAATGCCTTTATCACCGCACTTAAGCCTGAGCTTAATCTAACAACATTCAAACCATTACATGACATTCACAGTTTGTATTTGAAGAAAACCAACCAAATGCTTCCACCATTACCGGGGACTGGTTTTCGCATACTTCCGTTGGCTGACGTCCTTCTGGAACGGTTAGAGAAATACGATGCACGGATACATCCGGTAAAGAGAACTACTATGTTTCACAGATTCATCATTGCAGACGCAACCTTTGTCTTCGTGGCGCTGGCATGTGGTTCTGGAGACGTAATCGGTTATGGCGCCCTGAAAAGAGCCAATAAAGTTTGGGAATTCTGCCCAACGTATGCAGATACTGACGACGTAGGGCACGAACTTATTAGAACGATGCTTGACAAAGTATCCGATGGAAACACAATTGAAGTGAATTCCTTCGCTGAGAACCAGAAGGCGATTGACTTATACAAGGAAATTGGATTTTCAATCCAATATACTCTTGCGTTGATGTACTCAAAGAAACCGCTGATTATTCCAATCAAAAATGTTTATTCTACAGCAGGATCCGATTACTCGCCAATGTAAATAATTTTAATTCAGATGATTACGTCATATAAAAACTAAATCGTTACAATGTTGATGCATGAAATATTTAATGGACTTATATACAAACTCGGATTATAAAAGCTGAAAATTAATAATAATATTATTTAAAATATTGAATGAATTGCCCTTCTTTACCTTCTACTGTTTGACGTTTGATTTTCACATTACCGAGGAGCCGTGAAGATCAGGGGTAGAATAGGTCTTCAGCAACCCATGCTTGCCGTAAAAGGCGACTATGCTTGTCGTAAGAGGCGATTAACGGGATCGGGTGGTCAGTCTCGCTGACTTGGTTGATGCATGTCATCGATCCCAATTTCGTGGATCGATGCTCATGATATTAATCAGACTCGATTATTAACAGACCGGCGTTAATTAACAAACAAAAAAATCATATTACCGAGATTATGACACAATTACGTATTAAATACCAAAAACAACATTTTAAAAGTTTTCGGTGATCGCAACTTTCTCCTCAGTCTTTTACGAATGCTTTATTACTATCATTAAATGGAAACATCCAAATAGTTCATTTATACGAGATATTGAAAAATGCAGACGTGTATATATCGTAGTTTTAAATCAAGGTTGAAATCAGGCACGAAATGATTTACACATCTTTTCGTGAAGCATAGGACATCCTTAAACCCAATTCAGTAAACTCTTTTACCCTGATAGTCTTACCTTCTGCTTGTAGATCTGGCAAAATACATAGGAGGTCTATCATATGAACTTTCTGAGCAGCTAATCATCGACCAGGCCCCAAATTCTCCGTACGAGCGAACTAAGCATTCAGAGCAGCATATCCGAAGAACGTAAACGAACGAAAAAATAATACTGGCTTCGCTTTGTTTTCGATGTTTGATCTACAGCCTGGCAGGTTGTCTTTTCTGAACGAGGGAACATTTGTAGACCAGTTCAAATCAAAATGTCCGAATCGGGAACAGGTGGTAAAGAAATATCTGCAGCAGAAACTTTGAATATGGTGACATATTGTGGGTGTGTCTCATGTTTCAAACTACGAGATCAGAATTTTCTTTTGTTGTGGTTATCATTGTTTATACCAAACATTACTAAAACAGCGCTTGTAGCTGCGCAACGCTGCAATATTTTTGAGGCGGCTTCAAGCAATATTTACTGTCACACACTTGAAGCGACGTTCAAGGCCCCCGTGTTAAGAAAGCTGTCATTTGATTGGTATAAAAAAACATACACTCCCTTCAATTTTATTTAGGCTGTCACAGTTCGCTCAGGGTACATCTGACGGGACTCCTATGAAGGGTGTGCCATCAGACAAAGAAAAGGTATCTGATTTCAGTGTGATTGTCCTATGACCGTATGGAAAACCCAAATGAATCATAAATATCACTGTATTGGTTTACATAAAAATAAGACTGTATTTCAATTCGTATATGTTTACAAAGTTTAATCTTGATGTTACACAACAGGCTGCTTGAATTACTTTACGTTATGCAAGAATGATTATTTTGTAGTTGTAAGTGTAACATCTAAAACATATATTACATTGATTGACATAAATAGCTTTTTAAGGTGCGAGAATGCATTTACGTGTGTTTGCACATTCGAATATAATGGGCATTTGTGGCCGTTTATTATACATATACTGATATATACCTGCTTTGGGAAAAGGACAATATATGTTCTTCTGTTATCGTTATGTCTATAGTAATATTGATGTGTCTTGTCGTATTCAAATGAAACAAATAAGACACTGCTAAGACATGAAAAGGAGTTCTTTTCGGGATACGACACGCTTCTAATTGGTTCCAGTGTGAAACTTTATATGTGAAATTACGTTTGTGTCGCTTTGTCAACTACACATCAACTTCAAGAAAACTGATGACTTGAACCTCGTGGCACTTGAAAACGGAACAATATACATAAGTGATTGAGAGGTAAGTCAAATACTTTTACCTCAGTGAAGGTTCGTTAACACGAATCCACTATGTGCATATATTGTTTCAGATGGAATATCTTGATGGTTCAAGCAGATTCGATTTGGCAATGCGGCCTTTTGTCGGATAAATCTAATATTATTAGCATTACTGTTGATGGTTCCAATTGCTTTGACTGTATTGCATATGGTTGAATCTTTCCATCTATTATGAATTTCCAAAGGTAAGTCTCTTCTATTTTCATTATCATTTACCTTTTTGATGTCTTTGCAACAGGATTATCACTAGGAATCATATATTACTGCATTCTTGTATTTGAATGTTTGTCTTTTTCAGAACAAGACTTAAACTCCGTGTTGATAGAGTACATGCGCGGTCGATGACATAAGTCCTGCAGTTCTACATACAAGTTGTGTTGACCGTTGTGGTATGAAGTTTACTCGTAATTTCTGAACAGTAGATTAGGTTGTCTAAAGTTAAGGCATAGCAATTTGTTAATGCATAATTGCTACGTATACTTCTCCTCTATACACTATTACGATGAATAGTCACAATTCGTGTGTGCGTTTGTGCGTGCATGTGTGTGTGTGGTCAAATAAGCGACAGCTAAATCGTAGTCAAAAGAGAGCAGCTAAGTCGAATCTGCGTGATATTATTACAACGAATGTTTTACAAGAAAGACAAATCTGAAAAATGCAAGGCGGATATTGCTGCAATTAATGAATGATTAATAATATAGTATCAGTCTTTAAGCTTTCTATTTGTAACCAATGCACACAATAAATATGACTGTATGCTCAAATGCATTGTGACATTCTAGAAATACTGTGCAAAGTACCGTCAGGTATTTTCCAGTGAAATGAATGGTCAGTCCAACGATGCAGTCTCGACTTATTTTGAACATATTAATGGTGATAAATCTTAACAAGTCAATTGTTCATCTGAAAAAAAACACGAGAACGTATGGTACAAGTCAAAAAGGGAATTGCATCGGGCATCATTTTAGTCACGGATGCGTCAAATTTGGAAATATCCTCCACCATATGTCTAGTAGTAGCATAAAACTTGGAAACCTTTACTGAGGCCTTAAATGGTGTAACATTGATCAAACAACTTCTGAGCAAGAGTCGTATGCCGCCCCTTGAAAGTTGTGAAATGTAAACACCAAAGGCTGGAGTTAATGGAATATTGCTCGACTTGGAGGGATAGTTGATAATTGTCAACACAAAAGTTGAAGTCATCACTCTTGTGCTACAGTCTTGTAGAGAGTGTTTTGTTACTCTGAATCTTTATGCATGAATCTAAGTATGAGGCGGTCTCACTAGTCTTTACTTAAAGCTCATGAGGGTAAATCAGTGGAAGGGAATTGGCTATTTGATTGTTATTGAACGATATCAGATCATCTTTATACCTGAAGATTAAGCGAAACGTCTTGGCCAAATGTCCTTGATTTAACTTTGCCAATCCGAACAGAAATTCCGATCCATTTAAAGAAACAGATCCACAATAAGTGGAGCACAATTGGTGCCCATGGGGATGCCTTTTTCTTGCCTGAATGTCTTACCCCCAAATTTTGCGTAGATGTTATCAATGAGGAACCATAATAAAATGGATAAGATATTCGTGTAATATATTGATATGTTATATGCATTTGATTTATTGTAGGCCTTTGTCCCCACGTACTGTTATACAGAATCTGAATCTGAACGCATTTGTATATATGTGTATGCATATGTATGTGTAATACAGTAAGTCCACACACCATTGGACTTTACAAATTTGACGGTGTTGTCATATAGTCCTAACAATAAAAGAAGCCATGAGTTTTATACAAGTGACCATGGATCATTACTTGCTATTCATTTAAATCATTACATTACAGAGTGCATATAATTCTAAATAAGAACACTATGTGAGCAAGAAAAGGTGCAAAATAGGGAATAGTCACCCCAAGAATTATTTTTCCTGGTGCTGATTTGTGGAATAGAGCTGGCTAGATTGCTTTTATATAATTTAGGTTGATTTTGGTTTCATAAGGTAACATATATTCCACAGTCATGGTTCAGAACTACCCGGTTACATCCAGAAGGGCGGGGCTGGAGAGTGTTAGGGTGATGGACACTGGTCTCAACCTACACTGCGAAGGTTATTGTGCATAACTCGTTTATGTCATATTACAGTTTTTTTGTTTTTGTACAGAGTTATTCGATCGCCTCTTTTGCCAAACTATTGCCACAGCACATAACATTATTTAAACTCAATACTTAAGATCACAAACAAGTAGGTTTGTGATACTGTTTACACTAAAGTATGTAACTTTTAAGGAACAGACAAATTGTTTGAGAAATTTCATATTTAAAACATTTGGCATTTTTTCGTGTTTGAAATTGGTCAGATGACTTCGAAAATCAATGTCCCCAGATATATTCATTAAACAAAGAAAAAAGGGATATATTCGGTATTCAAAGTCAAAACAGTCGGCTTAGTGATACAGCATTTGAAATTATAATGTCATGAAAGACCAAGCATATTCCCATCGTTACAGTTACAAAAACGCAGTCCCTGGAAACTTCAGACAAGAAATGTGCAGATTCGCCAAAGCGCAGCCACGTGCAAACCATGGGACCAATACATAAGCCTCTTCTGCACGTGCAACACGATCACCAACAGTATAAAAGTGCACCTGTATTTCGCAGACTGTAGACCGCCATCAAATGCCACTACAACGGCCGTTTGGAAGCAGGGGAATCCAGATCAGCCGTTGCTAGGGCGATTAGTGTGTCCCCATGCACTGTCACAAGACTGTGGGACCGATATCAACAACACGGGACAACACGTGACCGACCCAGATCAGGTGACAACCTCCCTCCCAGGAACGTTGCATATACGGGTACGCCACCTACGGCAACTGACGACCACCGCACACTTCACATCAACAGCAATACCAGGTCTGCATAAGCGAGGCAGGCATTTTACCAGACGACATGTTCATGGTATCCTTTTGACACAGCAACACCGCCAACGACGAGATCAGTGGTGTCAGGATATCTGATCTGTCATTTCAGCAACGTTCATTTGAGTTAACTTTTGACTGAGCAAAATGTTGACATTATCTGATTGTACTAATCAATATTTGTACCAAGGAATCTTCTCAGTGTCATCAAAATGTGTGTCTTTATCTTTTATTCTGTGCGTATATTTTGGAAATCTTGCTTATATTAAATATGTATTTATCCATCTTAGATTTGAACTCATCTTTGAAATATTAAACAAATTATTCCAATAGACTTGATATTTGATTACAACGTTCCGCCCCAAAATACATGTAACTTGGGGCTGAAGTGTAATAAAAGAATCAGTTAACTGTTTTCTCCACTTGAAAAATGTAGATTTACATTAAATATATTAATATATGTTTCAACGTTTTCGTTCATGTTTTATCAGATCGTATGAGTATCCATGTATTACGTCATTTATAAATGTTTGTATCGAAAATAATGGTCAAATCCACATTAAGCGATTCCTTACATAAATAACCTGTAAAATATATACCTGATGCCCAAAAATGTCTTATTTCATCAAACCAATCGTTAATATTCTTTTTATACTGAGTAACTGTCCATTCAACGCAGGGTACATACTGATCCTTTCTACCACCCCGTGCTACAAGATCTTTTACAACGCTACTTACATGGTCAGATGCAGACAAGCAATGTCTTATCCTTCTGAAAACCACCGGAAACAGAACCTTATTGTCAGAACAGAATGATGCGAGAAACAATAAAATACCAAATCTTTCTTACTGATACCACCATCTGTCTAAGGCGCCGCAGTTCAAAAAGGAACATACGCCGTTCTAAGATAAACTCTATAATAATTCAATCTATCTGAAATGAAAGTAGGGATCAATAATGAAGGCATTTGATGCGTCATCATGGTAATCGTTAATAATATTTAAATAATAAAACAAATAAACCTTAAGTGGAGCAATATTTCCTCCTACAGAAAACATCATTTTCCATTTGTATATAAAAGTGTTCTAAATGTTTTTACCAAATAGATTATAACCTGTATCTCTAAATATATAACGTTACATTACACTGTTTAATGTGAAGTTTACATTATATAACTTTCCATTTTGACGTTCGGAAAATGTATTACGACGCGCCGTTACTGTGACTTATTTACTGGGTAAGACCTTTCCTAACTGATGATGATATAAATTGAATCTATTTGTTGTAATCAAACTACAAAACATGTTATTGTGGATCATGAAACAAGAAACCACACGTACTAAATGAAGATCCTTCGAGGTATCAAGTCGTGAAATAAAAAATACATTTACTTTGTGTGAGTTCATTGAACCTTCATACATACTCAAATGAGCTCACACAAAGTGAAAGTCAATTCTTAATTGATGACGTCATTACTGCTATGACGCCACGATGGTATAATACAATGACTTTATAGTTTAAAGAACATTGCTACACACCCTTGAAATGGTTAATATGGATGAGGCATCTGAAAGAGTGGTTGAACTCGCGTTGATGGGAACGCCAACCTGACGGAGGTGGCAAATGCACGGATCTAAATTTCTGTTTCAATTATAGTTTGAATGATTACCTTTCAGTTCACTCGAAACAAAGCACATTTGTCATAATGACGTCACGTACCTTGCTCACCTTGCGGCAAATAGTCTTGGCAGGTCTATCCTCTGCGGCAAGGCAATTTCAGGATTATTTAAACTTTAAGGCATGAATGAGTTTGTGATTGTGAGTAGCTGAGCATTGTTGTGCGCCGCTTTTATCAATATTCCAGCAATATCAGCGGCGGGGGACACCAGAAATAGGCTTGATACATTGTACCCGTGTAAGGAATGGAACCCGGGTCTTCGGCGTAACTGGCAAACGCTTTTAACGTTTTAACCACTAGGCTACCCAACCGCCACAAAGACATAAATGACGTTATGCTATGCGACGACTTTCAACTTTTAGGACATCATTGCTGCGTGCGGTGTTAAACAACAAACGCGCACACATACCCACAAACGGAAAGGTATATGTCACAGTCAGATAATTTACGCACCAGCATATCCAAAGAGGTATAACATATCACAGTCATCTGTCATACCCGGAAATATCACAACCAGGTACCTTACATACCCACCCTAAGTTATATCTCAACCTTGTATCCCACATACCCACATATGTATAGCCATATATCACAAGCAGGTACCCTGAATTCCCAGGTATCTTATGGTATAAATCTAAGTAAGGTACCCTAAATTCTATCACAATTATGAATAGCGAATATTCCTCTAATTGCTGGTTTTTTTAAGGTTCCGAAAACACGACTGGAATATTCCTGTATCATTTTGCTCAGTTTTAAACTTCTCAGCAAAAAAATATTTGTGAAATATTGTTCGCTTAATTAAATTACATATTGGCCTGAATTTATTTGACTTTCGTTACTGTTATTTGCAACTGCCACCGACTCAAACCTATACTTACAGTGGTGGCACAATAATATTGATCATGGATACATGTCCTGCCTTTAGAAAATGTAATAATAATAAAAATCAATAGATTCAGATTTCGCATTCCTTATTCAAGTACGCGAGATCACTTGGCCAAACGTACATTTGATTTTTGCCAAACGCACTTGAGTGCGCTTGTATATGCTCAAACCAATCAATCCTTTTTGTTTGGTTGGTTGGTTTGGTTGGTTTGGTTGGTTGGTTATACATGTATACATTTATGTAACATAACTTGGTGATATAAACAACAATTTACAGAACACAATTTCCATATATCGAACATAAACATAAAACAACAGAGTACATGCATGCAGCTATGTATGTTTTTGATAGACCTGTATATGACAAAGCTTCCGAAACGATTGAAGTGAACTCCGCAAACAGAATTATTGATCAATAGATTCGAATTACTAACAACATATATGATAGCGAGTGATTTCTATCGTGACTGTCTGCAAGAACAGGTTATACTGAAATAATATCATCATCAATAACAAACTGGTGTCGATGTTTACAATAGATAATTTGTATCGATATATACAAGGGACTCGGTACGTTACAAAATCAATATCGTTGAAAGGATTTTCTTTTGAAGCATGCGCCGATAACGATCAGTTCGGTGACAGACAGACATGGAAAGATTCCTATGGATACACATAGTGGAACTAGGCTGGAATTTCTGGGCTCGATCGTAGCGCCACCAATGGCTATTACGAGTTAGGTCCCTTCTATGTCGCTCCTCCGTGGTCTAGTGGTAGAGCGTCCGCCCAGAGAGCAATGTCAATACCAAAAGACGTTAAAATGTCCAATGTGTCCATGTGTATATCATAATTAAGCTTGGTCAATACAAATATATTTCACTTGGATGTCTGTGGTGTTAATGAATAACCTTGTCCAGTATACATGTATCAACTCTAACTACGATGCTATTGTAATTATGTCAATGTATTCAATGTCCATGTATATGCTTGTGTAACATCAATGTATCTAATTGTCTCCCAAATGACTATGTCAATAAATATGGTTGTGTAAAACAATGTAATTTAACGTACCGACGTTAACTACAATATCTGAAAAACTATCGGACCTACTCCAGTCAAAGTTGGTATGAGATTATTAAACAGTCATACATAACTGGATATTACATTTAAAGACAATCGGTGCATGAATACAAAATCTGTCTATTTAGCTACACTATATTTCATCAACAACCAGACCTGTTCGTCACGGGTGGAACGAGCTAGCGTTCATTGAAACAGCCATCTGCATAATGCTACCCCTGCGTCACAGGGCCATATGACACAGTTGAACCAATCAACTCAACTCGAAAGGGTGCACGGGAATCACGCACGTTGAGACGCCCAACGCTAACACAGTATTCGTGCGTGCGTGCGTGATTTCCGTGCACCCTTTCGATTTGAGTTGATTGGTTCAACTGTGTCATATGACTGTGTTTTTCCTGAAAAGGACCGTTATGGTAAATTTCGCTCATATATCAGTGGGTTGGTTCCTATATGAACTGGCGGGAGAGAGACAAACTAGCCCCGGATAAACTGACAGTGAGATAAGTAGAGCGGATTTGTGACTAAAACAATTAATGCAATGCGATAGGAACCGCATTCACAAACTTCACCAGTAGCTATTTGTATCAAATACTTCATGTTGTATGTTTTCCTCTTGTTCGACTTTTTGATATGACAGCATGTTGAATCTAATGAATACACGGTTTCTTATTATATATGGTCAAGTTTGCTTTCCGTTTGCTTATGCAAATGTCAAAGATGTGTGTGTCATCCACATACCTTAACATATGCAATCATAATTACATAACCCTTTGAGGAGGTGTTTCGCACAAAAAATACACCTTTTCTTTCGCTTTGCAGCATTAGGTTACGATGACATCTACACAGGAGCTATGCAATCTGGCATTGGGGTGTGTCCGATGAGACCCAGAGAACCTGATGCTGACAACAAGGTTTGTCTAATTGAATACTAGTATCTATATTTAGAAAGTTGAAGTTGTCAACATTCCTAAACGATATACGAGTATAAGCAAATATTTAGTCATCGATAAGAACATGAAATACATAAGGACACAATTGAGAATTATTTATTTTTGATGGTCAAAGGAGCTTCATGATCCCGCTGCAAAAGCGATTACATATATTTTATTTTGACATTCTGACAACTTCGTTTGCTTGTTTCAATCATATTTAGCATTTTGTACAACATTTTAAACTACATTTAAGCCTATTCGCTTAAAATATAACAGCTTAAAACTAACAATCACTAGACAGAGTATCTGTCCCATGAAGTATAGATTAGCCCTTTCTAGGGTATTATAGTTTCTGTAGATCTGCATCTGACGGCAGTAACATGTAACTATACCACGGGTATTGCTAAGATCTGCATAGATAAAACGAATATTGGATGATCAAGTTGAATATAAATTTAATTAAGTAATATAATTTATTTTATAATGTGCATGTAATGTAATGTAATGTAATGTAATGTAATGTAATGTAATGTAATATATGATGACACATAAAAAGAAATCTGTTATCGGAGACTGTGATTTTTTAGACAGGTGTTAGTTAAGTGATTGTATAACTAGTAATAACTTTTCTAGACCAGCTAAGTACTATAATATTGTACTGAGAATTACTTTTATATACATGACGTCGTTTACATAATATCCGAAAAAACATTGACAATAAATCATACATTTCGCCATAACTTTACCAGTATTGTTCTGTCAAGACAAACCTTACATCGCAACAAACAGTCTGCATTTACTTTAGTAAAATTATGTATAACAATACCCTCTTGAGCTTCACATAGCTCAAGGATGGTTTCAAAGTCTACAAAGAGCTCAACAATTTGACCAGTCAAAGGGTTAATGCAAGGTGATGTCATATTGGCACAATGATCCATTTCTGGTGTGATATTGCTGGAATATTGCTAAAAACGGCGTAAAACCATACTCACTCACTCACTCACTCACTCTCGACCGCATCATGGTCATTCTTATAAATACTGAGTATTATAGAACAAAGACGTTATCATTGACATCGAGGCATGAGCATGATAGACAGTATGCCTGTAACACTTACTTATTAATAATCATTTCAAATGTTCCCAACAGCACAGGTGGCCCAGTCGTCTAAGGCTCCGCGATTCGCTGTGCAGAGTTGCATCCCTTGGGCACGCAAGAAGCCTATGATTGTGGGTTCGAATCCCGTTCGCCACAATTAGGTTTCTAGGTTTGTCAGCACCATACCTGCTCGTGGGTTTCACCGAAATGGTAAACGTCTGAGACCTGCACCACTTCGGGCTTTCCTCCCACATTAAGATGACACGCTGTGATATAACTGGAATACTGTTAAAAGCGGCGTTAAACCTAACTCACTCACTCACTCAAATCTTCCCTTTCAAGAGGGCATAGCAGGTGTCGTATCCTTGGATAAGGCCATTGACTTCAATTGTCCTTCTGTGATATGACTGAGACAGCTGTTGACTGTCATGTAAAATACCCATTAAGCGGAATTTAAACAATACAACATAAACATACTTGTATTGTCAAATGCATGAATTATATATCAACATCATTACAAGTTATAACATGAATGAAAACAATAAAGACGATATAGTGTCTAGTTTGAAAGATGGGGTCAGTTGTTCGATCATCAAACCTGAAATCAGGACATGAAACTCCTTTAAATCTTCAGAATTCCACAATTGTCTTTGAGTGTTGTGTATGCCCACCACGGGAATCAATGCGGGGTCCAACTCAACGACGAGAAGAAGTTGGATACGTATAATAAGTTGAAATTGGACTTCACACCATTCTTCTCGGAGCGTCTGTGCTGACTGATCCTTGTTATAAGGGCAACCTGGTCGTGTTTTTATTTGACAGTCAAGGTGTTCCCACAAGGGTTCTATGGGTGATAAGTCTGGCCAAAGCAAGATGTTGTATGGGGCCTTGTGTTATCTTGTTGAAGCAGGGTCTGTCATGTTCTGTTACAAGAACGGTAGCAAAACAAGGTACAGTCCGTTTGACTCCAAATGAGAACGATGAATTGAAAAATAACTCGAAATCCAGAAAAGTGTATGAAACATCAATACGGTACTTGACCATGAATACCCTGTACCCAACAAAATCTGAATTTTGATTAATTTAAGACCCATGACGGATGAAGTTCTTTAAGAAACTATCATGTAATTTTGTATAGAAATGTGTACATGACACGTAGGGGGGACAAACCGTGGAAGGCACAGCGCAAGCACGGTCTGCACGTGCTACACAGTGACCGTGTTCATTCAATGACAAGATGCGCAACTCAGCAGATGTTAATCAGTTGATGTTGAATGTGTATGATTTCTTTATGCATGAATATGTATCAGTCAAGATGTAATTATGTTAGTACAAATTCAGGCTCATAGATTTAAATAGAAACATATATGGTTTTATAGCTGCAGCTGAAAACATATTTTATCTCCCAGCCCCCCACCCACATAACCATATAACATCCGTTGAATCCATGATAATAAAGTAATTCATGTCAACCTACTATTTGAGTGTATTGGACAAATGAAATGGTGACTCTGTACATACAAACACCATCAAGTGCCTCCGATAGTCTCACGTGGCACATTAAACCACAGCAGCATTGAAAACAAATTGACGTATATTCAGAACATACGCTGTGTGTGTTGTTTTGTTTGTGTGTGTGTGTATGTGTGTGTATGTGTGAGTGCGTGCATGCGCGCGCGCGCGTGTGAGTGTGTGTGTGTAAAAGGAAGGGAATAAACAACTCAGAGGTGTGTATATATATATGGCTTTGGCCATGTACTCTATATACAATGTACGACCAATGAACAATGAACAACTGCCACTCACCAATCTGCAACCTTTTATCCCGGTCTAAGCTATATACTAATTTTGCTGTAATTGGTTTATAATGATTACTGATGGGTGATGTTCCAGTTTCATTACACACAACACTAGTCTCACCAACAAAATGCTATCATACAATACATAAAGGGGAATACTGGGCTCAATGTTATCATAATGTCTCTGCAACTTGAAAAGTAAAATATCATTTGAATGCGCATGTGTTGCGCTGAAAAGCATTAAACATGAATTGATTTCAGTCACTGGAGTGAACACAGTCCTTTAGCAACTGTTGTGATGTCTAATAGGGCATCTGCATTTTCCAACTGAACGACTGCAAATGAATTTAGGCATTGATCCACTGTCATTTTATGTTCATATCGATAACTGATTAGTTGTCAAGGCCATTTGGAATGTTGTTAACTCTTTTGCTTCCTTTCGTCATGTGTAGCAATAGACATGAACATTAGATACAAACACAGTTTTCACAAACGATAATGTACAATATGAAAGTGATGTGATAATATACAAAATACGACATTCTTATTTTGCAATCAGCCACATTCTAAGACGTTTAGATACTTCGTACTCGTACTCGTACAAAGGCATAAATCAATCGTTAGGATAGGTTATGGAGTGCATAAACTGCAAGGAAATATTGATAAATAGGGTACCATAAAAAAACATTCATAAACATTTTTTATAAGCAACTCTTCTTCATCCATACTTTTTGTCTAGACAAAAAGTAACTTATGAATATGTATTCTACCATGACACTGAAGAATGTTTGATTTTGATTGGTAAAATTACCATTAAAAACAGGTATTAAGATCTAAATCCACTTTTTCACACAACTTGGGTATGAATACGTCGCTCTATCGACAGCTAAGTGGTTGTCGATTATAACTGTACACGTTCACTATGAGAACATTACCATATGTCTTTGGTTATGAACTGGTACAATGCACAAGCATATGATCACAACAGCTTATAAAACATGATCTTAGAACATACACAATAATAAGTAACACAGACTGCAAAATATGAACAGTCTCTCATGTCGTGCAGGGAAGCGTCAGACAAACTTGAAAGGTGGTTTCGTTGGCAATGGTTGTGCCAGTTGGTTCATTTTCACCAGTAAATCACTCATCACGTTAATGTAAACTACAGATCGGATTCAATTTGTAAATAGCACTGTCCCATCAAACAACCATTTTGCCTGCACATTGACAGTGAAGGGTAACGGAAGTAAGTCAATGCGAAGATAGGGTTGGGAAGATGGTAATTCTGAATATGTATTACTGCTACTAATTTCAAACCAAATGGTACATACGTACAACGCCAAAGTAACTAAAATCAGTTAAATAAAAAAAAATTAAGAAGTAATTTAGTTCAGCATTTTTGTCACTGTTTCTACAACCTGTCACTCCAAAAATGGAATTTGTCATGTTGAGTCCAAGCAATACAATCTATATGCAACAGGTTTAAATAAATAGTAGGTTTATCTCGTCATTCTACCACGAATGTGGAATTACACGATTCTGATTGGTTGATCAAATCACAATATCTTCCTCAGACTGAAACAACCTATTTGACGACCGAATCACCGCCGAAGAACAAGCTAATTATAATAGATAAGTACTTTTTTCTCGCCATTGTATATGAGTATATGTACAATTATCGGTGCCAAAATGCAGAGTTGCTGTTACTAGATATTCATTATTCAAGTATGTAGACAATTTAGACTGAAAACACTATATATGTAAAGAAATGGAAGAAACTTAGAGATTGTATTTCAAGTTTTAGGACCACAGAGAGCTTGACATTTGGCACTTTTCTTTGTTTTGACTGACGTTTCAATGAGCGGTCTCACCTCATAAAAGCGGCGTTAGGTGAAGATGTACACCATGACAGGCTTACTTAAGTTTCTCAAGAACTTCCGTTTCACGTTGGCTTACGGAATTTAACATATGAAACTTTACGCTGCGTGTCCGGGGTTCGATCCACGGCCGTGTCGTACCAAAAGACGCTAAAAGATGGTACTTGTTGTTACCGTGTCTGGCGCTCGGCATTTAAGCGGCTAAAACAAGGACTGGTCGGCTCGGAATCAGTAAACTGTGTCTGAGTGGGGTATTCATGTTAAACTGCGGCATGGTATCCCAGTGGGCTAGCACTATAAATCGGACTAGTCCGGACTAGTACAAGCAGCTACTCACACTTATACATGCACGTCGCTATATAAGTGCAATAATCTTGGTCGCGACGTTAAGCCAATTCCACCTCACCTCACCTCACCTCACCTCACCTAAATATTATACTTTTAACCACTGTACACAATAGGTTTAACTCCTAAATATTATACGTTTAACAACTGTACACAATAGGTAGATATAGCTTTTAACAACTGTACACATGTACACTATATGTGATCTGGTGTAAGTTTCGTCAAGGACAGTCAAGATTTTACAATGCTACACAGTTATGACTGTTTCAAAGAGACCATACATGAATAATATGTATATCATTGACACTGGTATATCACAAATAAGATATAGCTCTTTGCTAGGTTTTCATTCATTAATACAGTTGAATACACAATGCCATCTAGAAAGTGGTCAAATGTAACAAATGTCATATTTGGAATAACACTTTCTTAGTAAAGTACAGATTCTCGTACTTTTTGGGGGTTGAGTCCCGTCCGGGATTCGAACCCACACTTGCCTGAGTGAGGCACCTATTCGCCAGCACACAAAGTCAGCGATCTAACCCACTCAGCCACCGAGGCTTCCACAAAAATGAAAGTCCGACAACTGGTAGTCTAGATCACGTACTTTGAGTACCCCTCGGTGGCTGAGTGGGATAGATCGCTGACTTTGTGCCCTATTTCATCACCCAGTGACTGAAAATGATAGGATTGAAAGAAACGAAAGTCAATATATATTCTTAAAAACGTTTGGCTTCCAATCCAGCAAAATTCTATGTGATGTTTTTGAACTGACTAAAATATTTGGCGTTTTGAAAATTGCCTAAATGAAAACTCAGTCATTTTACTCATTGACTGTAACATATGTAACTCTGAAGTTGGTCATGCATTGGTCATGCATTTTCCAAGCTAGAGGCATGTGCCTTTCTTTATAAACGTTGTACTAGATGAGACGGCATTCAGATAGATATTGGCGAGGTCAGCTGTCACCTGTTTTGGTGAAGTTATACAGTGATACATGCATATGTTTCTGGTGGTTTGGGGCATTAGGAATAGGTGGGGAGGCTTGTAACGTCATGCATAACCGTTTCTTGTTTTAACCCGTAGGCTGAAAAGCAAAACTTCGATTTTAAGCATAAATCGTTAATTCTAACATTGGTGCCCCCACGCATGCTATTAGCCAATATTTATAATTTAAATCATTAAATTGATTAACGCCGTGCGTCTGTAATTGTTTTATGGTGTGGAAGCAGTGGTGATTGTGGTGTAGGGGTGATTGCATGCTGATTCTACGCATATTTGCTGGACAGTTGCCTGTGAACGATGTATATAGTTATACTTATGTACATTGCCGCCACAACTCCTAAATTAGCATCGGGGTACTCCTCATTCAGCAAGGAGATACCCAACGCATGTCTAAGAGATGCGCTTTTCTGGAAACGACACGTTTCCAATAGGTTCCAGTGTGAAACTTTGTGTCTAATGTTACGTATGTGTCAATCTGTCAACTACAGGACAACCGACCGCATTTGTCACATCAACTTCAAAAAAGCTTATGACGTCCACTCAGTTGTACTTGAAAAGGGAACAACATACATAAGTGATAGAAAGGTAAGTCCAGTGCCTTACCACATGTATCATATGTTTCCTAATTTTACCCGTATCTATTTATCTTCTCCATCGACTTAAACCTCCATGGTTAAAAGTTTAACTGGTGAATATATTTTTCTTCCTACCTATTGATAATTCCTAACTGAGAACATTGAAACTAGTAACCACTAATTGCTACACTGTTGTATCTGACACTCTTTTAGAACAAGACTTCAACTCCATGTAGATGGGGGACATGCAAGGTTAATGAAATATGTGCTGTTGTACAAAGGACAAACAAGATGTGTTTACCGTTTGGTGAGTAGTTACATGGAGAATTTAAGGTTTTTCTTTTCAAATAGTACGCTCACTTTCCCATTCGATTTAGCGCGGTCAAATCTAATACCCCGTTCACGTGCGCCTCTATACGTATGTGTGTATATGTGCATACGTGTGTAGAAATACATACGTGAGTATACTCATGTGTGTATATTTATACCAGGACCAAATTTGCATCATGTCTGGAGCAAGTGCAAATGTTAATGTAAATTTGCACTGTGTGTGTATATGTTTCAATGTGAACGTTTATGTCAACGTAAGAGGATGATCTAATTAATATCTTTTGCCAAAACCAACCAAATTGTCAACAGTTGCCAACTTTTATGCGTATGTACGGTTGAGTTGAGCGGACGGTGTTTTCTTATGGTTTCAAGGAGTCAAAACTTTGTGTACAAATGAAATCAAACACATGTTGCTTCACGCGAACATTTTCGGTGAAGTAACTCTCTTCTCATTCAACTTTGATTGGAAAACAACCTGTTTCGTGTTGAACAGACGAATGTGTGTGCCTCACACAATTTACATACTTTATTTACACACCTAAGATGCTTTTCATGTGAACGCATAGTACATTTACATATACGCACGTATGTATAGTTACACATGTGTAAAATGACTTACGTTAGTAACTGTTGTGCATGTGAACGGGGTATTAGGGACGGATAGTGCCATTCCCAAAGCTTGTCATGTCTGTGTTACTGCAAATAGAAACACTGACATTTATTTCAAGTACCATTTATGATATATTTGCTTTTGTATATCCAACAAGTACGATTAAAAGAGCAAAAGCACGAATATATTCTAAGAAAGACACTCTGGCATTGCAGAAATTCTGTGCAAAGCTCAATCTGCTATTACTCATTCAACTGTGATACTGAGGATTGCTGGTGACAGAAGCTACACATCCAAGGCAGACCACACATGTGACCCCGGCTACATCCTACAGGGTGGCACTGGAGAAGTGGAGTGTCAGAGTGATGGACAGTGGTCACAACCTACAGGACACTGTGAAGGTTAGTATTTATAAGCCGTTGCTCAGGTAAAGGTGGTGTTCTGACATCTTGTTCTGAAGAGCCTCGCTTCAATACAGCAACGTAATTATGATCGAGGCCAGTTACGAAACTATATTAAACAATGGGCAAAAAATCTGAGTTTCTATTTATCAAGCAACAACAAATATAGCCATGAAGTATGTTTCTAATTTTGCTTTCAGCCATAGAGTGCACTGCACCAAAAGCAATTCATTTTGCGAGTGTAGGACTAAGGGTCGCTGGCAACAGAACCTACACAGCCAAAGCAGACCACACATGTGAACCCGGCTACATCCTACAGGGTGGCACTGGAGAAGTGGAGTGTCAGAGTGATGCACAGTGGTCAGAACCTACAGGACACTGTGAAGGTTAGTATTTATAAGCCGTTGCTCAGGTAAAGGTGGTGTTCTGACATCTTGTTCTGAAGAGCCTCGCTTCAATACAGCAACGTAATTATGATCGAGGCCAGTTACGAAACTATATTAAACAATGGGCAAAAAATCTGAGTTTCTATTTATCAAGCAACAACAAATATAGCCATGAAGTATGTTACTAATTTTGCTTTCAGCCATAGAGTGCACTGCACCAAAAGCAATTCATTTTGCGAGTGTAGGACTAAGGGTCGCTGGCAACAGAACCTACACAGCCAAAGCAGACCACACATGTGAACCCGGCTACATCCTACAGGGTGGCACTGGAGAAGTGGAGTGTCAGAGTGATGCACAGTGGTCAGAACCTACAGGACAATGTCAAGGTCAGTTCATATTACGTCATGGCTCATTGACAACTCAAGCGAATTGCCAACATGGTTTGGTGATCCCATCGACTGTATTCAGAAATGTCAAGAGCCATACACAGCAGCCATATTGAAAACGAAATCACTGAAAGTCAGGTGAGCTCGTGTCATGGCCAATCCACTGGACCAAAAAACCTGAAGTTTGTTTCAATAAATGACGAAACCTGAATATCTTCAAGACGTTCGAAATCGAGTTTCAATGCGGTCATCTATCGGCATGTTGTTCAGAATGGTATATGTGTAGTTAATAGTGGCCCTTAATATATATGTTCTATTTTGTGACAATTTAAATTTTGTACGTTCAACCTTGTGGAACATGTCCCTTTGATCATGATTTTCTTAAAATGTATTATTGGCACTATAACATCTTCTCCTTTTTTATATCGTTGGTCTGATGAAACTGTAACTATCATGCATGTTTCTCCATATGGTGGCAGGGTTGGACCCTGGTAGAAAGGGATTGTTCGCCATTCAGGTTATTGATAGCAATAAGCATTGACAGTCTATAAGAATCTGTTACCTTTACAAGCCACACACTTTGCTTTTGTCCGACCGCTGGATTAATTTCACTCTAAGACGGTATGAACATGATGGGCGATTTCAAACATATTGTATTTGCCTGAATTACGCGATTGAATGTTGCATGCGTTTCACAATACGAACATGTTTTAAATTGTTCTTACTCGTTTTACTGATCATATCCGCGATATCCGAAGTTAACCGGAGTATACAAGTCGTGTCTGTTCATGGAAGACAAGAGCGCATTGTACAATTAAGAACAATTTCAGAACAACAAACGTTAAACAAAATACAATCTTATATTTCGATGTTATTCTGTCAGTGGCTTCATTGGGAATATACCAGAGCGTCTGCAACCACCAAAAGTTATACTCACGTGTCATTTTATAAAAATGCAGGCCCCAAAATATATTAAAGCAGAAAACCCCGCTTCATAGTGGTATATTGCTGTTTGTATATTATGATTAAAGATTAAATTGTCGTTAGATGTACACCTTGGCGTGAGCAGATCGCCTTCTTCATCAGATTTGTTTTAATTTGTTGTTCAACTTCGACAATCGTGTCACTGCTTCAGAACAGTTTGTGATTTCAATGTGAAAATGTGATTGCATTTTGTTCCAAAATGTTTCTTTCATAAAATACCCTTACTTGTTTCATGCACCACGTGTGTCACATATCAATTGTACGTGTGGGAGTGATGATATTTTACATGTCAGAAATTGCATGGTAACAATATAAAAATTATTTAAAATCATTTGCTCTCCAGATGTATGAGGAATACTAGTATCTATCCCATTTGATGTCATGAATCATGTCCAGCTCACCGTTAAGGAATATTATGTTGTTTTGTACCAGTTAAATGAGTATTTACTTGTGGGACTAACGGGATCGGATGGTCAGGCTCGCTGACTTGGCTAATGCATGTCATCGTATCCCAATTGCGTGGATTAATACTCATGATGACAAGCCTACTGATGTGTTTTTTTTGTGGTAATTCTAGGCACATGTCCTTCCAATAAAGGATACAAGTTTGACAATGACACTTCCCTGTGTTACAAGATTTTTACATCATCAAACAATCGTACACATGCAACCAAGGACTGTGACAACGATTCTGGGCGCCTTATCATCCTGAACACCTCGGACAAGCACAAGCGTATTGTGCGTGAACTCCTTGAGAACTATGGTAAGAGAAATAGCAACATACGTTGTAGCACCTACTTCTTACTGGAAGTCTTCATGTAATCGTGAGTCAGTATTAATACTACAACTTTGACATCATCATAGACGTTTCTCTTTAGCCTTGGACCAGCCTCCCAAAAAGGAACCAGGATTCTCAAAACTTTAATAATACGTTAGCTTTGGCGCAGAGGTCTAAGACACAGTAATTCATTGTGCAAAGTTGTCTCTCTTGCCTACCCGGGTACACTGATCCCCAGATTGGTCGGCCCAATACCACCAGTGCTGAGGCCTAAACCACACTCACTGACACGTCGTCTGCGCCGTGATGTAACTGAAATAATGTTAAAAGTTGAGTTGACACCAAGTCACTGACGCCATCAGTTAGCCACACACTACATGTTGTTTGATCTTATCTGTAAATAGGTGATTTGAAATTGGATAAATTAGTGCCTCAGCTTGTATAAATTAATGTTTCATCGGAAAGTCAGCTTTCAGACATTGAAATGAAAATGCCAGTAATTCGCCCAAACAAAACATTCTTTGGTTTCAGGCGGACCTAGATACTACTTCCAAGTTGGAGGGAAGAAAGAGGCATCTGGAGATTGGGTGTGGTTAAATGGGAATGTCATAGATTCTACAGGTCCCCACTGGTTTCCTGGGAGCCCTGACGGAGATGGCATCTGCATGGATCTGATGATTAAGAACTCCATTGATGGGTTGAATGATTACAGTTGCCGCAGCCAAATATCCTTCATTTGTGAAATACCAATTTGAATTGTTCACATGGCATCCGGCCACTTTCATCATCATCGATGTTAAATAGTAACAGTATACACAAAACAGTCAATGTTGCATATTTTTATAGCCACGAAATGAATATTTGAAAGGACAATTGGCTGTTGCTTTGGTAAATGGCGACCTCATTGAAATTTCTTCATCTTAGTTGTGTTAAATTCCACAATCTGATGAAACAGTTGCAGAGTAATTTGAGCACTATTTGGAACGCAAAGAAATTGATGTACCCAATTGACTGAAGTTCACATTTCCAAGTATATTAAAGGTCCAAAATGGTGCCCGTTTGTCTATTTCTTCAAGATCAAGAAGCTGCCTTTAACAGGGAACCCACTGGCTAGAGGTGGGACGTGTATGAGTAACGCCACAAAACTGCTTCAACTGAAAAACTAATCGATACGATATGCACGCCTAATCAACGTTTCCTTAATTGTGATACTGAAACGTGTTATGAAGATCCAAAATCATAAAAGGTTATATGGATTGTACAGAAAGTATTTACATTTTCCTATATTTTATTATAGTACTCTCTGTATTACAGCGCATTACTAATTTTGGGAGAATGTCTCTTTCACTAGCACTTGACGGCGAGAAGTGTGAAGTTGGGGGAGGCATGTCGCAGATCGTAGATGTTTTCAAGTTTGATGGAATGCATGGACATAGTGTTCACAAACCGAGAATCATAATCGGTTCGAATCTGTTCTTCGAATCAACAACCAACAAATTTCGGTAGCTGTAAAGAACGAGAATTCTTCAAAATAGTATGTGTTTTGTACACACTCGGGAAGCTCGGGTTCCGTATGGTACATATTACAAATATGAATGGTGACTTGTGACTTGTCAGTGTTTGAGGAATTCACATTTGCACTTAAATTCATGAACACTAACATTCCAACATTCACTCTTCATCGAATATTTAATGTAAAGTATTGAATGTTAGAACTTGAAGATACTTATCCCCTCCCTCCTTTGTACCATACTATAAATGATAAGTTGTTAACTAATCAGATCAAGAACTTTAAATAAACCGGGACTATATCCGTTACTCCAAAACCTTTGTAAACATGTGTCTATATCAGACGTTAACACATATGTTAAATTTCATTTTCTGAACAGATAAAGTGTGTCAGCCCGTGCGAATTCCTGGACAGAAAGGACCTCAAGTATTGAAACTCCTTTCCTGAGAGTTTAACCACTCGACGGTTTTGTAACATAAAACACAGTATGTCCCTATTATATTCTTTTGTGCAGCCAAATGATCATTAACACATTGCACTGACGCTTCTTTAATATCTAATTCAGTATTGAGACATAAGTGTAAACTTCCTTCCCGTAACGCTACAATGTAGTCATTGATATTAACATTATTTGGAACAAAAGAATATCTTAATACTGTCCTGGCCATGAGCTGATCACATGACCGGGGAGATGTGATGACTGATTCGTCTGTACAAGAGTTGCGTTGTTGAATGCTTTGAACAATAACTAGTATTTAGGCCAGAAACCTATGATTGTGGGTTCGAATCCCGGTTCGCCCAGATTATGTTTCTAGGTTTGTCAGCACCATACCCGTGCTCGTTGGTTTCACCGAAGTTGTAAACGTCTGAAACCTGCATCACTTCGGGCTTTCCTCCCACATTAAGCTGACACGCCGCGATATAACTGGAATACTGTTAAAAGCGGCAACTCACACACACACACACACTTAACTGACATAATTATTACATCTACACAGGGGTTTTTTAATATTAAATCAGAATATTGTTAGCTTGTGCAAAAACTATCTGACAAGTCTGTTAATTCAACAACGATTAAATGGATAGAATCCTTTCTTGTAAACATACCACAGTTTGGGACTGTAAATGATATCAAATCATCTGTGACCTCTACGGGTGTCCCTGCAAATAAGAAAACACAAATTCTGCCTATTGTTATTGATAATGAAAATGATCATTTGGTTGAAAAATATGTGTATCTTTGCACCATTATTGATTCGACCCTCTCTTGGACTGCTTACACAAAGCATATTTATGAAAAAGGCCAAAAGCGGTTGTATTAATCTTGATAATACAATAATCTCTCTGATTTATAGAACATTTATTCAAATCATGTTAGATTGTAATGTTAACTGCTGGTACGGGAGTCTTTTCAAAATAAATCTCAACTACATAAAATTTGAAATACAGCAAGCAAAATCTGAGGTACCAAATTTCAACACATCGGCGAAATTTATGAGCAACAAATTGACAAAAAAGGCGCGTAAAGATACTAAATGACAGCAGTCATATGCTTTATTCCGCATATCAGTTGTTACCTTCTGGTTGCCGTCTGCGCATGTCCATGCTGAAAGCAGACTGGACTTAGAAATCATTCATACCAGCCAGTAATCTTTTAAATGATGATCTGTTTAATACGATTATACATATACTTTAAAATACTATTCCTTGCATTGTCGTCACTATGATAGTGTTCAATTCTCCATATGTTTTACCTTTGGTAATATTAGTAAGTGTCTTACTTTCTAATCTTTATATTTTAATACCATATATTTTCTCTTTTTTCATATGTTAGTGCTAATCATCTGTGCAATATGAATTTCCCTTGTGATAATAAAGTCTTATCCTATCTTCTCTTATCTTATTGTGTACCTTTGTTTTGAACACATGTCATTTAAAGTACCTTCAAGTGCCTCATTAGCTTGATCTACAATTTTCTTAAAGATCACATTAAGCATCATCTACATATAAAGAATTGAGTAAGGAGTATGTTTTGCGCAGTATATTTCGGTTACCTTCAGAGTCATAAACGGTATTTCGTGTTAGACAAAGAATACACAATCATGCCGGCAGACGCCCTTAAGTGCATAGTTATGTGTGAGGTGCTCACTTTTGTACATGTTCCAGTCTCCCAAACTTGCAAAGTGAACTAAGTGCGATACCGCGCATGTATGATTAGTACCGAATCACAATCATAATATTGTTTGTCCCAGTAAAACAATAAACTAAGGCTAGTCAAAGATCAAGTGGTTGTTTAAGTCAAAACGTGTACGCATATAACATGAGATACATTGTTTTGTCAGTGATCAATACTCTCAAACAAAGTAGGGATATTCGAAAATAACACGTTTTTACAGAAATACAAAGTGGTATCGACTGAAGGTAATGGATGGATAAGAAAAAGGAAGTACTACGTGTAACGTGAGATGACTTCATCAATAATCGTTCATGCTCCAACGATTGATCAAGCCTTCGTTTATACGGCGTGGCCCTAAGCTATCCCCCAATGACAACTGGGGTAGTCTTGTCAGCTCCTCTTGCAGCGCCTGCTCCAGTTCTGCTGAGGTCGCTGGTGGTCTTTGATGTCGGCGTACTCGTGTGCCGATTATGTCCTAGACTTACTTGATATGGGAACGGTCAGGACTCATGACAGGCCATTGCATTCTGGTGATGTTTTGATGCTGGAGGTAGTCGTGCATGATGAGCACGAGCGTCATCTTCATGAGAGACAAAACGTGGACCAGCATTGAGGGCAAACGGCACAACTATTGGCGCCAGTATGTTGTCTATGTCTTCCTGACCTGTGACACTTCCATGGACACTATGCAGTGACACGTCGCATGACGTTCGTTAAGACGCCTCCAGACACGTCTACGTCTATCCAGAAAGTCCAGCGTGAATCTGGACTCGTCTGAAAACATTACGCGAGACGATTGGCGATTCCAACAGTTCCTACGCTCTTGACACCATTGGCGTCTGGCTAGAATGTGTCGATGCGTTAAGGGTGGTACAATACGTGATCGTTGAACATGCAGCCGAATTCAAATCGTCCGCCGAACATGCAGACGAATTCTAATCGTCTGGTCAGTGTCTAGAACCGTGGTGGCCTGACGCAAGTAAACGGCGATTTCTTAAACCCTGCAGGTTTCTGATTAATCGATACTGGACATGTTGTGTCTGGTGAAATCTGTTCCAAAGTCTACAAATCAAAGATTGAGACAGACTCGCTAAATTCTACCAGTTTGTATCATGCCAATAGCCCTAAGGGGTCCATCGCATTCCCAATCGGACCACAAATACTGATTTAAAGCTTACATGTTTCTGTGAATAATGAAAATCAACACTTCTAATGGCTCAGACCTATTTGAAGACTTTTAACTGATGTGTCAAAATCAAGAATGCCCTACCTACATGTACGTGCCCGGAGGAATTGCATAGTCCCCGCGTAATGTTTCGGGGGTGATGGAACATTAGCTCTGGGTCCTTTTCTATCTCTGGCAGTTATTTTTCAAAACTGATTTTGATGACCGATCGTAACATTTATATTTCATGATCACTTACGTTGTTTGGATATTGTATGAAGATGTGTTCACCATGGTGCAGAATATAGACGTAATATAGATACCTTCAACCACAACCACTGGCATCTGCTTGTCAACTATATGCAACAAACATTAGAGGGTTTTTAATATGATTTTGAAGCTGTGTGGTATGGGTAGATCACACACTGTATTGGTATCCATATTCCTTCTAGTATTTTGTTCCTTGAGTTTCTGAAGCATATAAAAGAATTATCTGCTTATTTTAAAAGTAGCGTGACCATTCGTTTATTTCACTGGATTTTCAACTGTAATTACTACCAACAAATATGTATAAAAAACTGAAATCAGGAGTAAAATCGGTTTCCAGTGTATATGATTATATTTTACTTAAAACCCTGCTGTATCTTTATGCCATTGTTCTCTGACCAGGTTATAGCTCTTCCTGACATAAAATCCCCATGACGTTATGTCAAATCCTAGGAATTATATATCCGAAGGTAGTATCTTCTCATTAATTGTTCCTGAAACAGGTCCCGCTGCTCTGATTCAAACCATTACACATGGCACTCTCTTTTTCTCGGATCCAAGAGTTGATGTTGGTATGTCTTGAAATACAATCATCGCATCAAATTCTAAACATAATCTTCAAATATATGTGTTCTTGCACCCATTCATTTATGTCACGGGATGAATTATTTGTCCTTGAGCAAACTAGATAACACGGCGACCTGTCCTACTGGCCCAGTCATCTACCCTGTGAGTTAAATACGTCTCGTTGTGCTCACCTGATGTCGCAAGGTTTATCGTAATTCGTACTTGACCGTGTTATCACCTGTCTGGCCAATACGCAGGTCAAAACTGTCTGTGGATACGTATAACATTTGATTGTCATTATCATACTCTTGTGAATTGATGACATTCGATCAGATATTTGACCTTGATCTAATTAGATACAATAACATGTCATCCCGTTGTATGTGAACTCCTCACGTAGGTGCTCATTCACATATAAACAACACCAAGGTTGAGTTTATTAAGTGGTTCCAAGAGCTCCACATAACGTTGTTCATTTGGCGGAAATATGAACGTCGCCGCAAAGATTGTACTACTGTATTTTGGAGTGCAGGGTTATTTGTGCTCGGAAAGACAGACCTACGTGTTCGATGACACCGATGGTTTGGGAAGACGGTTTGACGGGATCGGAGCAATTAGTGGTGGAGGGGTAAGTTGGTTTAGTCTTTATCTCACTCACTCACTCACTCACTCACTTGTGATGTTCTTGTAATGTTATGTAAAATGGTAGTTGTTTGAATGTGTAACTATTTATGTGCAATAAACTTGAACACGACGCTAAACCAAGTTTCACCCCACTTTTAGACATTGGTACGTCGCTATGTAAGTGCAATAATCTTAAACCCAACATTACACCCATTTAGATATTGGTTGACAATCGTATTCATTTCATAGTTCTGTAAACATAGTAATACATTCAGTGAGGAATAGAATATATACTGAGCATGTACAATGTATAATACATTTAGGATTTCTGCATGCATCTGTCAATATTATCGATCTTATCTGTCTTGATCTGGTGAACTAGTTTAACATCCCAGACTTACCGGATGAATGCTGACATTTGTATTTGCTTTGAAGTGAGCTACCTGTATGTTGTTGATGATCGTTTGAGTATCGTGAGTGGGAAATCAACACTTTCAATTCCAGGCAACATCAAAACTGTTGGTCAATTACCCCCCAAAACAACGAGATGAAATACTGGACTATATGTTTAAGGTAACACAGGCGAATTATTCATGACAATCTTCGGTATTGCACAGGCTCTATTAATCAAGCCGATCAGATGAGAGAACTAAATAAACAATATCCTTTGGTTCCAATGGGATGTAGATTCTTTTCATCCGATGTTTGGCTACCCCAAATGATCACAAGTGTGTGAAGGCTCTATAGTGTATTCATGTAACTACAACTATATATCCTTTTAATATATATCATTAATCTTCTTCACATCTTCTGTTCCAGCCTGACTTTGGTGCTGCTCTCCAGCTCCTTAAAGTCGAGATCGGAGGAGACATGCAGAGTACAGGTTGAAAAACATGAACACATTAACATCACTAGTACAAGGCAGAGAGCACTGTGTATATGGGGTTGTCCTTTAGCACATACGGTGATTGGAGCAAGTGAAAACTAAACATAGAAAATAAAGAATCATATCTATAGTTATTGTACTAAAATATAATTCATATAATAGAAAACAAAGCTTAGGGTCTTCGTCAGCAAACATTGCTTAAATTAATCATATATGACATAACGTGTTATGGCACTAAAACATAATACTTATAACGGAAAAACATAAACATCCCAGTGGATTCTATTTGCATAGACGGATCGGAAGCTTCTCATATGCGCAGCCCTGACGAAGAAAACTATGAACGAGGCTATGAATGGTGGGTTATGCTGGAAGCCAAAAAGGTAATGTTGTACAAGTATATCCTAAAATTTGTAAAGTATAATCTAATTATGTATATATACAAATCGAAAATTATTTTTCTTTCTTTAAAAAAAAGAAGTTTTTCGTCCGTTTTCCATTTTCACGTCAGCACAACTTCTTGCCCAGCGTAACCCTGACCTACAACTGATCGGTCTGCCCTGGGGGTGGCCTGGTTGGCTGGGAGGGGACACGGGGGACGTGTACGCCAACCCTGAACAGACAGCCATGTACATTGTCAAGTGGATTCTGGGTGCAAAGTCGAAATACGGACTTCACATAGACTACATCGGTGTACGTAGATACTCTGTTGAATAAACATACCTTCATATACATAAACAAGGGATTATCGTTATGTTTTAGAGATAACTTTGAGTTGTACATATAACAGTAATACCAATTAATAACAATTTTTCAAGCCAATGGTAAGCTGTTACTCTTCACTGATAAAAGTACATGTACATTCAATAGATACCTTTTATGTGTAGTAATAATTTAATAATGTTAGATTTCATGTGGTCGAACTTTCTTGTTTTACAGATATGGAATGAGAGCCGGTACACGACCACCTACATAAAGGTATGAGAATTTATTTGGAATAGGAAGAAGCATCTCATTTTCACGCCAGTATTCAACATTGTGACTGACAGAAATGTCACCTGTTTTATCCAACAACAGGTCCTCTGGAAGATGTTGCACCAACATGCTCTTCAGAACACCCTGATTGTTGCTGCTGATGATATCAGAGACTGGGACCAGATATCATCACAGGTTCTAACTGATCCAGATTTAGCTAACGCTATATATGCCATTGGGTGAGTTGTGGAGGATAGTACTTATGAACTAACTATTCAATACTGGAATATTGAGATATCAACACTAATGCATGGTGTTCATTTTATGGGCCTAAAACACAATTGGCATCAATTGATTTGTAGCTTACTATTAGTATTAATATATAATACATTTATTTACCGCACTTATCCTGCTTAAATGCAGTTTTATTTGTTCCCCGACCAGTGGATTTGTTTGCGTCCCAATTGTCATTCTCCACATGGAACCAAAGCTGCCTTCCGGATGTAGCATCGGATGAGTGGGTTAGTTTGAGCGCACAGGGTGAATGTACTGTAGAGGGGTAGTGACAACAATGTAAAGACCTGTAAACGTGTTTGGTCCAAAGGCTGAATAACAACCCAGTCACTAGCCGGATACGATCTTTGCACCTGGTGCCTTTGACCGCTTGACCCCCCACCCCCACCCCCACCCCCCTATCCCCATGATTAGTTAATTACACTGGGTTATTTGCACTAAGTTTAAGTTGCTTACCATTTCAGAGTGCATTATCCTGAGACCAACAGCTCGCTGCTTGCTTTGGACACTGGAAAACAGCTGTGGGCTTCAGAGGATTCTTCTCGCACCCTGTACTTGGTAGGTACATGTTACCTCGTTAGGCTTAGGGTGTTGGTTATACAATAGTAACAGCAGTGGCACCCTCTAGGCTTTAATCTTTTAGAAACGTTCACCGTAATATTGTAAACAGGTCGTTTAACAAAGGGAAGAAATAATGGAATTCCTATGCAACCCAGTAGTAACAATACTATGACATTTCATTCAGGGCAACAGCCAATGCCTTTAGAAATATCACCATGACCAATATGATGAGACATAGTGATATGTATTGTACATATTGAGGGCACTTAACGATAATGCTCACACTTCATCCGTAACCCGGTAGCTGCACACTGGGATGGCGAAGCTAAACGTTCTGAAAGTCACAGGAAGCACATATGATTATGGCTTTGCTCTTTCATAAATGTGACATAACAAATACACTTTGTGTTGTAGCGCTGGAATTTAAACTATGTCAACGGATTCATGACAGGGTGAGTACCTTTTTATACATATAATATAACTTACTAAACTTTATATTTGTCGAATAATTTTCACAATTTTATTAAAATGAACAACTGATTATTAAGGAGTTGATGTCAAGTCACGCATCACGCATCCCAGGTATTTATTTGCTTTCATTGGTCAACTTTCATTCGTGATCATACATAAAAAACACGAATTTGCAAACGACAAAAAAGTTGTTGCTAACTGTTTTCAACCAAAGCAAAGTTTTGGAGATATATTTCTTTGCAAACGCTAGTTGTCGTTGCGAAATCAACTATTTTTACTCCCAAATCTTTTCATGTCTACTTTCACTTACTTCTTTAAAAATATCTACACAGAACAGTCATGTGGCCAGTGCTGTCGGCATTCTATATGGGTCTGCCTCATCAAGGGACTGGCCTCATGAACGCCTCAGAACCATGGAGTGGCTTCTACACTGTGCCAGTTGGTGTGTACCTGGCAGGTATGGAGTAATAATGAATACATCCATAGGCTAACATATCCTCATATAACACCATATGTTGACACCAACCATGTCACCATTCTGATGTGTGTAACTGTACCATAATAATCATGCACAGATGTTCTCGGTACTAATATGGAGTGTACCTTCTACATACTCGAGAATATACTGTACATGGAATCCATCCTCTATATCCTCATTTCATCAAACCAGATTTGGACTTTCCTTCTTTCTGGTTCTATCTGAAGCATAATTATAAATGCGATCCTAAGTTTATTCATGTTTTCTCACCTCAACCGTATTGTTCATTATTTCCAATCAATCTATTATACTTATAAAAGCTCACAGTACCCAGTTCACAAGACCTGGTTGGACTTACTTGAAACACGGATCCGGAGTTGGTAGATTCGGTAATGGCGGCATATACGTGTCTTTGGTCAGCCCGGACCAGAAGGACTTTACCATTGTAATTGAGACAGTCGTAAGTTGTTGATACTTTAATCAAAGACTGCAGATAAACGTTTTCAGTAACTGCTTTTTTTAACAGCCCGATCGTTTTTTAGATCGGATTGTTGACATGCTTCTATTTTTATTATATGGGGTGACACACAAAAGCCACATTTTGTATTCAAATTGGATCAATGTGTTAAAAATAGCACCAAGAGTTTATGTTATTTCTTCACCTTATATCCCAATACAATCCTTAATATAATATTGAATATATGTGTAGTTTGGTGGTTAACATCCTCATTTATTGACAGTCATATTTTACAGAATGACCACAAAACCGGTATTCCAGTTGCATCAGAGAATGTCACCTTACAACTTCAAGGCAGCTTAGTGAGTGGTTTGATACTAGATGTACTTGAAAGAATACACAGGGGGCACGGGTGGCCCAGTCGTCTAAGGCGCCTCGATTCGCTGTGCAGAGTTGGGCACGCCAGAAACCAATGATAGTGGGTTCGAATCCCGGTTCACCCCGATTATGTTTCGAGGTTTATCAGCACCATACCCGTGCTCGTGGGTTTCACCGAAGTGGTAAACGTCTGAGACCTGCATCACTTCGGGCTTTCCTCCCACATTAAGCTGACACGCCGTGATATAACTGGATTACTGTTAAAAGCGGCGTTAAACACAACTCACTCACTCACTCACTGAAAGAATACACGCACAAGGACAATACCACTCTACCATGTGTGTAATAGTACCTTATCACAAATTAAATAATACTTCTAGAGAGAGAATTAGTATCCCCTCATTTGGGACCTATTCTTCACCGGATCCCAGCAGTAATTAAGTACAGAGGACGCTGCCTATTGACATAATATGTGTACATGTTATTGCTGTGTGTATTAAACCAAAGCCGTTGTTTGTTCCAGGCTACCATTAGAACGGTGAATGTCTGGTTCACTCAGCTGAATCTGGATAATCTGACAGACTCTCACGTTTTTGAGAAACAACCACCTATGCAGGTATGTATTGTGCAGATTACTGAACAGACCTTCTTGCTAAAGACCAGTAAGACCCCTAAAATGCTCTTTCTTCTTGATTACGGGCTCATCATTTTAACTTATTCCCCTTTGAATCCCTTCCGTAAATCTTTTGCAGGTCATAGATGGAAAGATAAACTTGAGTCTCGGCGTAAACCAGGTGTACACACTGACAACTCTGACAACAGGAGGCAAGGGGTCCTACCCTCCTTCTCCCCCGTCGAAACCATTCCCTTTGCCTTATATGGATGATTTCAATGGTCAGTACACGCTCAGTTCATGTTCTAATACACAACTTAATGCTCCCAGTCAAAAGGAATTTACAGTCTAATTGAAGAGCCGACCAGTAAGACAAATGAAAGATTCGATACTTTTCGCTCAGTATCATTTATTATTATATGATTAGTATAATTATGCATTCCAATTATCCATTGTGCCAGATTATAGAGAGTATGAAGAACCTTATATGATATCTCCTCAAACTGGAGCATATGAAGCAACACAAGTGGGAGGTGATCACGGGAAGGTAATGAGGCAGGTCACGACACGCAGGCCGGTGTCCTGGTCAACATGGTGTCCAATAGAAGAGGCTGGGGTATCGCTGGCGGTGGTAGGGGAGTATTACTGGTAAGTGGTCAAACCACCTGTAATGACTAGTTCGTGTGGAGGCATACATTTTGTTCAGTGGCCAATTTCAGGTCCATCTCGTGTGTGGAGACCTACTTTCCATAGGTGACAGAAGTATTGCTTCGTCTGTGTCTTCCAGACTTACCCTTAATAACTTGGTCCTGTCTAAGGTAGACTTAGTAAATTGTCCCACTGGCTTGGGAAAACACAATTCGAAAAACAAAGTTTAAAAGTACCATTTTAATTACGTGTTAGCAAACAACAGCATACCTCTGCATACTGACACATATTGCCACACGCTGCCACATACTGCCACACTGCGATTTCCTTCAGGTCTGAGATATTCATTGAGTGTCAGGTGTCAATCAACCTAACGTCACCTGACAGAGCTGAGGGTGTGTTCCTGGCCGCCAGGGTGGATCATGGAGGGTGTCATGCAGATAACAACACAGGGGTTTTCTTTTACTTCTATCCCGAGAACAAGACGTATTTGGTCAGCTCTGATCTTGGTGAGAATCGTCACTAGTATATCATATCACTAATGATATGCAGGATCAAAGATTAGACTTTACATCCATCGATATCTAGCATTTCAAATATATATTACAGTAAATTAAGAGAGATAACATATTGTATATATTAGTTACCGACCCAATCAGTGGTACTGTGGGTTTCAACGAGTGCAAACACAAGCGCATTGCGGCCACAGGAAGATACCTAGCAAGATATCGAAATGAGCGAGAGTGCAAACACAAGTGCATGTCGGCCACAGGAAGATACCTAGCAAGATATCGAAATGAGCGAGAGATAATCTCCACATACATACTTTGCTTCCATAATTATCATGTTTAAAATAACCAAAAAGCTATAACCTTTGTTTGTTACAGAGAGGAAACACGTCCTTACCAAAGGAAACATCGATTCTGTTTACATATCCGACTGGAATGTGATAGGCCTGTTTGTTCAGGTATATATAGAATATACTGTTGATGTTTTATGCAGATCTTATACATTTTCACTAATATATGTTGTTATTTTATTCGCCGCTGTCGTCTCATTTATTTCAATACTATGTTTCGTGTACACCGACCGCCCCAACGACTTGCAAATCAAGCAATTTCTATGACTTATTTAACTAGTTGTACAAAATTAAAACATTATGTTTAATATTTTGTAAACATGCTAAACAATTGGTCCTACCTGTCAACTAATAAGGGCGCCTGAAACACACATTTATTTCATATATACCTTGACTTGTCTGATGTTGTCCGATTGTTTTGACAGTTTTGTGCTTTATTAATACGGGGGCTATTTCATTCAAATCAATTCCCTGTTGGAAGAAGTGCATGGGAAACTGTCTGGCTGAGATACCCACCTTGGCCATGACGAAACCTGTCAATGTATAGATGTAGATCCTATGTTGTTTTCCCTGGTTTTATGAGAAGATACCCTGTCATACCTGTTTTCTTGTCACAGGGGACGACTGCGGCTGCATTCGTCAATGGTCAAAGTCTCTTTCATGAAACGTCAGTTCCTTCAACAGTCAAGTCTGGATTTGCAGGTCTCGGGACGGGCAGTTTCGGAGTAGCTGACTTTGATAACATTATGATTTCTGATCCAAAAGAAGGGCTTAGAAGAATGAAAGCGTCATACAAGAAACAAAACACATGAAAAGAAAATGTGATACTTAAACCAGACTCTAACAGTGTTTGTTAATTTTCTTCAGTTTCTGTCCCTATTCGTTACCAGGTATATACGTGACAGGTGATAGTTCAAACTTCACTTGTGTGAATTCAATAAAACATGAGATATGTACTAACCTCATTATCTTGTTGTAACTCAGTCAGGGTAAGAGGTACAGATGTGTACCCTACCATAATATACTCATGAAAAACGCAAAAGTGATACAATTGGTATTTAAAGTCAAAAGTGTCGACTTAGTGGTACAACATTTGTAAAACTAATAAGACCCAGCATATTCCCATCGTTACAGTCACAAAACGCAGTCACCGAATTCATTCAAAATGAAACATGAACACCACCAGTATGATAGTGCATGAGTTCCATTGCCTGACACCTGTATTTCGCCGACTGTAGGCCGGCAACACATGCCACTACTCAGAGAAACGCAAAAGGAGCAAAGTCCTTGGCCGCTTGGAAGCGAAGGAATCCAGGTCGTTGCCAGGGCGTTTAATGTGTCCCTAAGCACCATCACTAGACTATGGGACCGATATCAACATGTGTTAACACGTGACCGACCCAGATCCGGTCGACTCCGTGCGACACCCCCCGCCCAGAACCATTACACACGTTGCTCCCGTTATGACAAACGCCAGTGTCGTACACCAGCACAACGCTGGGCCTACCACAGCACGACTAGCGACTGCCTACCCACAGAAATACAACATTGATGGCCGACATGTATCTTAGCCCTCCCGATCACCGGGTTTGAACTCAATTGAACATTTATAGGACTAGGTGGACAGACACCTGCGACAACCACAACCACAGACTCTCCCATAACTGGTTCTAGCAGTGCAGAATAAGTGAGCCACTATTCCCAAGGGTGTGATCCCAGCTCCGATTGGCAGTTCTCAGCTCACAGGGTGGAAGCACACGCTATTGACTGGTGATGGCCTTGACCTTGGACCTGTCATTTCAACAACATTGACCGGAGTCAACTGTGGACTGTTATGCAAAATGTTGACCTTAGCGTACGCACCAATCAATGATAAAGTCATCTTCTAAATTTAATCAAAATGTGGTTTTGCGGGGTATTTTTATGAGGATACATTATAAATAATCCTATTATTTATTAAGACTTTTTTTTCATTGTGGATATATACATCCGACGTCCTATCAATATCTCACACACAAAACTAAAAGTGACTTAAAGCTTGATCACGGTCCATATCATTGCGCACCATGACAAGTCAGGTCACCGAGCATTGTTACCCGTTCAGTTTACGACATGCATGAGGTACTGGGGGAATCATTTCTTCCCCTGAATTCCTCCGTCCATACAACCTGTAGTAGCCGTCCTTACTCCTATTTGTATCAATCCTTAGTCCAGTAGTATTCGTCCTTACTCCTCTCTGTCCTCTTCCGCACTCCTTGTTGTATCCACCCTTACTCTTTGAACTTCCCGTCCTTACTGCCCGTGGTTTCCGTCCTTACTCAGTCGTGTCTACCCTTACGCTCTGTAGTGTCCGCCTTTCCCCTCTATAATATCCGTAATCACTTCCTGTAATATCTGTATCAGCTTCTTATATAAGAAAGAGGGGTTGTGTCGCAACTCAATTAACAATGTCAATAAAAATATCTGTTACAACACGTGCAGAGTGTTGTGTTACCCTGCTGCAACGGGCCGTAACGTCCCTGCATTTGCGCAAAGGGTAGAACTTGATCTCGAACAATGTCGCCCCGGTTTCTTAACATTTTATTGGCTAACCAAGAAAAACACTTTTATGTTTCCATAATCCGAAACAAAACATAGGCCACGCCCACTTGCGGACTTCTGTTTTCTGATTAGCTGATAACACGGTGGGCGGGGCTTTGGTTGCATTATTGTGCTGAACGATGTCACTGATTTCTACAATTTTGTGTTTATGGATAAATAAGCAGCCTGTGAAGTAATTGTTTATTTTTGTGTTTAGGAAGGTATAAATGTAAAACCGGTGACAGTTCTTCAGTGGTTTAAAATATACTTAGTATCAAGCGTTTCTTGTCAAACGTCCACATACGAAAATAACAAGTTGCTAAATTATGTACTTATGTACGCACAATTGTTTTGATATCTTTGCAAACTGTGATTGTCCTTTGATTGGCGCCTCAAATGAAGCCCAAACTATTAACATCTAGAGGGAGTACCATTTGAAAATGTGTGCTATCATGTAACGTATATCTATCTATACAGGACAGTAATATGGCCATTGACGTCGGCATTTTTCGCGGGGTTGCCTCATCAAGGGGTGGACTGGTTCCACAGTGTCAAGGTCTATGTAAAATAATACATTGAAATTAAGAGTAGTCACAACATTGTCATTGTATAATCTAGCTTTAACCACCCCAAAATACCAAAACGTATCCAAAGAGTCATAATAATTCCACTTTTGCATGTAAACAGTGCTTTAAATATACAGTCAAAAACTGTTGTTTCGAAGTTGAAGGAATCTACAAAAAACACCTCGCGTTATCCGAGGTTCGACGAAACCGAAAATGATGAATGCAGAAGGAATACGCAGGAACCAAGCTTTACTTCGAGACAACCGTACGTTCGACATAATACAGTCAAACACAATTGTGATTGACTGCATATGCATATTTTGCCACTACATACGTAATCGTGTTGTTTTTTGTACGTTGTATTAACTGCACATCTTTCACCACGTTGGAATGTGTAAAGCTATTTATCTACAATGTAAAGGAGCTTGTAAGGTACAGACAACATGCATAGGAGTTCATCCTCCGTTCTTTTATATACATGATCGAAATTGAAATGGAAATCTATTTAATGTATCTTCTGTTATGCAAATACTTGATGTTTCAAATGCTGTTGACATCAACATCAACATTATTATTCTGTGGGTTTTTTTGTGTACTGGGGTAGGGGTTGGGGGGTTAGGATCAGATGTAGTCACGGAAAGCCAGGTATCAATAAACCTTGCGTCACCTGTCAGACCCTGGAAGTCAGGATGGATCACGGAGGTTGCCATGAAGATGATAACATGGGGGTCTTCTTTTACTTCTACCCCGAGAACAGGACGTACCTTGTCAGTGCGGGTCCTGGTAAGCATGTTATCTGATAGTGTCACTGAACACGTTTAGGCTATTCAAAGCGCATCATCAGAGAATAGTTTGAAAACCCATCGATAATCAAAGCTCCTTATACACACATACTTTGCTTTTAATTTTACAGTTGAAAATGTTTTATACACTCTGCCAAAAAAGAAACATAAAAGTAGTAAAATCGTAAATATCTGATAGTGTTGCAATGCAAAATATGAATTGGTCATTTCTGCATGGATTGGGATTGATGTGTATGGAAGAATGAGGCACTGTAGACATTTGGTGAAAAGATAGAAAAAACGAAGAAACACAACTACGAGAGAGCCTGGCGCCGAAACACACCAACATGACCTTCACGTGCAACATCCCTTGTTGGGCTATAAAATATTTTGGTTTTCATTTGCATGCCATCACAATCTTACAGCAAATGAACAGCGAAAATATGCTATGAGTGAAAGAAGCCCAACGTAGCAACGCCATCTTGCAAACAGGAGAATCATCTTCAGCTTAAGCAGGTTTTTTTTCACCCTAACAATACTGTCGAACCGTTAGCAAACACACGGGACTTTTCCAGATCCGGTCGACCACGTACTCGTATCACTACTAGAGCACATGAAAGATTAAAACGGCTACGTCACTTACGCGAAAGAACCATCACGACTATCCCAACAACCACGGCAATGCCAGGATTGAGTAGGATGCCCACCAAGTAAGGAACCGTTTCGTGCTAGACGACCAGTTGACGGTGCTGTCTGAACAAAATTATATTTCCCGTAAAATGATAAGTTCCCTACAACCTCGAAAATGGTGTCACATTGACTGAACAAGTTACAGTGAAAACTAAAACACGTGTATGAAAACCCTTCCATTATGAAAAACCGTCAAATATGTGTTGAGGATATCTTACCCGAATCACCAATGGAAGTGGGGGAGGAAGAATGGTTCTTACTATAATATGTGAAGTACGTACCTTGGTACATATTCTAATATAACTCTCTCTGACTCAAATTTGTAACCGCCAAGTATTATACATATAACCTTGGTCGGTTGTAATTCCGATACTTGCATTTTGTTGTCTGGAGACGGACAGTTTCGGAGCAGCAGACTTTGATAACACAATGATTATTAATCCTCGAGAAGAACTAAGGAAAATGATAGCACCATACTTAAATATGTTTGTCAGTTGTCTTCATATCTATGTCAATATATGTTCCAAAGCATATAGTTCAAAAGTATCCGAAAATGCATCAAGGGGTTTAAACCATATTAAACCGATATACTAGTAATTAACAGTTCAATTAAATGGGAATTTCAATAAGTTTAAAATAAGTACCACTCTTGACTCCTTCACCCTTGCATGCTGCTGACGAAACTAAAATGAAAAACAACAAAGAATGTAAATGTATGTGAACTATTTAGATATTACTAATATATGATGATTTAATGGTTATTTTAATTATTAACTTCAAACCTGATTCCGAACTTTAAGGGGCACTAATCTCTGGCTTCTACCCGACTGTCTAACACTGCCCGCTGGGGGTCACCAGCTGCCGCGAGTCGATTTGTTGGCTGAGCGTAGCCAGAAACTGGGCTACCGACTGTAAGGACAGCGTAAATATATTTTAAGACGATATCCACAAGCATTTCTAAACACTGATTGGTTATCACGTAAAGTGGGTAACTATGGCATGCCACTTTTATCTTTAGACTATGGAATAAATTAGATATCAATCGTGAAAATGATTTTTCAGACTCCTTCATTTATTGACGTCAAGAAGCACGACTCAGGACAGCTCAAGGGACATATGTTCCAGAAGGACTCATTATTTTCACATTGTCGAAATCTGCGTATCCCAGTGATCCTGTTCCAACAGCCACAAAGCCTTGGTTCGGTTCAGACGGGAGGTTAGAGTAAGTGAACACTATTTCATCGTTGACCTTGCCCACCGCTGTTGTTCCCTGAAATATGTAGAACACCACACAGCTGTACAGTAGGCAACATTCCAGTGATAACATGAGACTTCCCACGTATGCCGTTCTCACGTTTGTTGACGAGTGACCACAACAACATTCCTATCATACTTACTCATTCCGTGATGTCAAATTGGCAATCTCAGTGAGGTATGATTCAACTGTAAACTTATTTAGAAGATTACAAAAGGGCAATTGAGCAATTTGTTACTTGTATCCCAAATATTTAAACTTTAATTTCAATTGTTAAAAATTATAACATGGCTATAGAGAATATATATATAATAACAAACAAACAAGAACCGACACTGAAGAATCACTGTAAAATACAGCCATGGCACCTGGTGTTTATGAATCGCAGTAAAGTTGCATTGATGACACCAGGTATCGGGAAACGGATAGGCAATGCCTATCGTAAATCAGTTCAAGGTGAAGGTCAGCTTGTCCTAGAAAATGTTCTTTGGCAGCCGAGGTCATGTAATCAGTGAAAAGATCAGACTACTGTAAACACACACAATTATGTGTCGTTCGAATGTCTTTGTTGATGCGAAGCATACTGAGACATATTTTCACGTTTACCTGAATATGTTAGAAGTTGTTCCAGGATCTTTAACTACAAACTAATGCTTACCTGAACATTCAAGGATATGTTATTCCAACCTTTGTTAACGCCCCTTACGTATCCGCCTTGTAAAATACTCCTACGATCTGAGGTGAAAGTCAATGCATGGACGTTAGGTGATAGTTGTGGCATTTTTATCAATCAGGTATATCATTCAGGTTATGTAAGTCCTCCACGTTTGCGATCGTAACAAGTTAATGATTGTTCGTCACGTAACTATCAAATTAGGAGATAAAACTAATGTGCCTTGCGTTAATAACAATATGAAATAGCAAACAAACGTGCATCAGCTGAATGGCCTTTGTAAATCTTTCGCGATCTTTCTACAGCACTTGTAATTCACGTCACTCTAACATTCATTTTTCATTATCCGTTTTTGTAAATGGTGACCTTCATCACTCACATGGAGGAACTCACCCAACGTAGGGGCGAGTTGATAGGCGTTCTCTTGAGGGTAGAAAAAGAAAAACACGCCTTGGGATGAGTAAGTCTTACACCCTCCCTTGGAGACCCTGGCAGCAATGAAGACTCCTTTGGATGCATCGGTGCCATCATTATACACATCAGCCTCCCCGTAAATGTCCGTCCTGGAACACATTACATACACTGATATGACAGTGTAACGTATTGCCAAACAATGTTGTAATTGTTGTTACATCGTTTCTGTTGAGATTCAGTAGACATCTTTTACGCTGCCTCTAGCAATACTACATTTGTACATGCATATATTATCTTGACGTGCTTAATAACAGGATAGATCTTCCGTAATACCACGGATGTAATAGTGTACATATTAATCCAAGAATATTTCAAAATCTAAACTGTTATTGGTTTGCCATTAACAATATGTAACGGCATGTTTATCACCAAATGCTCCTAAGAATAATCAATGTGATAAAATTTATATCTCCGAAGAATCACCGAATATACGCTATATGATGTTGTGAGCATTGATGTTCCCATGTTAATGTTCAGTAGCTTTTTTATACCTATCATTGAGAATGTATCATTTGGATAGTCCAGTGTTGTAAATGTATTACATAGTTTCCATTGAGATTCAGTAGAATGTTTTTAGGCTGCCTCAAGAAATACTACATTCATATATTATATTTACGTGCTTAATAACAGGGTATCTCTTCCATCATACCACGGATGAAATAGTATAAATATTAATCCAAGAATATTTCAAAATGTAAACTGTTAATGGTTTATCATCAAATGTTCCTAAGAATAATCACTGTGCCAAAACATATATCTCCGAAGAATCACCGAATATACGCTATATGATGTTGTGAGCATTGATGTTCCCAGGTTAATGTTCAGTAGCTTTTTTATACCTATCATTGAGAATGTATCATTTGGCTAGTCCAGTATGTTTGGCAAATATTACAATACAAACGAATTCTATTCAACGAGAAGCCAGTTTGTGGTCTTGGCAAGTCCACACTTTATCATCCATGCCAATTATTGTTCATTTGTTTCGCTTTAAACTATACAAAAATGTTTCATGTTTCTGTCGTCACTACCACAAGTGATTAATACGTTTCACGTGTGTATTACCAATTAGTATTTCCGATTATAGTTATGCCAGCTGCAGTCTGGTTACAAAAAGGGATGGTCATCCTCAGGGTCATTTGGCGCATCACCTGGCCATGGCTTCCACCTGCTTGGTGTACTTCAAATGATCCGATCTGCTGCGCAAACAGATATGGCTCTTCGTTTATTCTGTAGCCTGCCAACATGAAAACCAGAAATTACTTATTGGTTGTGTTCAAGCAATACAAGTTCAATGTACTCAACTGAACTGATATTTTGTACAAGTAATGGATATCATCACACATGTCAGATAGTTTACAAAGTGGGGACATTTTCTTTCGGTTAAATCTATTTTTCCATCTACCAGTTAAGTGAGACCCTATAAACGTTTTCCCACAGTATGTTCAAGTAATATAAAAATTAGAACAAGCACTTTTTATGATACTTTACATTGTGCCTTTTGAAGACATATCTATTGCACTTTTGCAACACTGTAGGTTAATATCATATATTTTGCCATGGACTAAATGGTTAATATAAGTAGGATTTTTTGTATTTTTGTGATAACCAGATGCAACTGAGTACACGTTCGTCAAAAATTCGTTTGATGTATGTGATCCACCCATTTTTAACTTTCCAAATATGTCATGATTTTACAAAAACCTCCCAGGGAAGTAATTTTGCCCCAAAACATAATATCACTTTCATTTTAACCATGTTTGATAGATGAAGTCTTCCAAGTTTCCCAACCCTTGAAATTTCAAGGCTTTCTCTCGATGATAAAGGATATAAATCGTAAATGGACACCTTCAACAGTGGAGATGTTTTCAAATCGCCAAACTTCGCATCCATAGAAAAGAAATGGTATAACCATACTGTCAAAATCCGCAATTGACATTCAAGTGATAATCTAATGTCCGTCCTTGTTGTAGAACATAGAACAAAGCTTGTCCATTTGCCTTGTTGTGGTAAATTTGGAATACATTTGAAAGGTAACACCAGGTATTGACAGGAATCAACCTTTTTAAAACATTATGACCAATTTTAGTTTTGGTAATATCAATCTTAAGCCTCCAATGAGTCTAACACCTGTTGTAAAGCATAACCATTAGTGGCTAATAACACTTCATCAGCTGTACAAAATAAAACAAATATTGTGATAATATGTTCGATTCGGTCAAGAATTCTGGTTTCAACTGGACATCTGTACATGAAAAAATCTTATATAAGTGCCGCTTCGACATCACTTCAACATATTGCAAACACAACAGGCGACAGGTTTTTTCCTGGTCTAACTCCATATTTTCATGAAAACAAACCTGTTGAAGTACAATTACAGGAAACACATGATTTTATATTTGGTACATATCATTAATAACGTTAAAACACAATGAATGAATCTGATGTTAATACAGGGAACCGTCAAAGCTTATGGCATGGCAGCCTAGCTTGAGAATGTTACTGAGCTAGGTGAGGCTACTGATGGTCGATTGTACGAGCTCTGTCTCCCGTATAAAGTTCTCCTTTCTAGATATCATCCAAGTCTTTCTACAACATTCATTCTGGCAATCAGGTCCTCGTGATTCGCTGATTTTTGGACAAGCTTACATGTAGGACATTTCGGATCTGTTCTGTCCATGAAGTGGGCAATCACAAACCTCGATGAAGAGATCGGACAGAATGGGAATCATACAAAGTACATTGGTCTCCATAATTTTACTCGTCATTATAACTAATCTTACTTTCGAAGTCCTGTGTGTATGGCAGTGGAAAGAGTTCAGATGGAGGTGGATGCGGGTATTGTCCCTTCCTGCCCTGACCGACGGTAGTCAATGTAAGAATCTGATCCACGCCAAGGTACACGTCCAAACGGTTGTTCTCAACCTTAAAGAAAACACCTTTTAAACACTGCATTCATAAACTTTTCACATACATACCGGTGGTGTTTCTATTATGCATTTACGATAATACTCATGCTTTGGAAACGTTAAACAGTTAGTGACTACTGGTATTAAATACACGAAGCTATGAACGAAACCTTTATCTCAGAGACAGTTTAATTATGCGACTTTATAACGACGTTGCGTTTGTTAGTGAATGTTATTTTACGCCACAGTTAAAATCGTACAGTTCAGGAGTGGACGCCTTAAATAAGTCGATCATCTTTGGCCACAAACATACACTGGTTGATAGCAGGACCAACGACCTATATCATCGGGGAACTATGACAGTACATTTGCCAGCTTACACAACACAAGCACACAAATTATCTCTTAAATCGGCAGCTACAACAAGCACACCTGGATGTTCATTTCGTAACATTCGCCACCACATGAACCATAAGGTTGATTTCTATAACAAGGGATGTGGCCAAATATTGTTCTATATCCAATTCCTTAAGTCAGAAAACAAACCATCATTGGAAAAAACGGTTTGAAGATGGTTGGTTCGCCGGCAGTGTGCAACTGTGTGAAGAACGAGTTGATGTACGTAATGCCGGCCTGGAAAATAACAAACATAACTTCTTTACAAGCTCTCCATACAGTGAACACGGTGAATTTAATACTTTTATTTGGATGGAGCAATGACATCTATGTTGCAGTGTATTGTGTTGTTTTTTGGATTTTGTTCAGTTACAAAACTCACCAAACTTCCATCAAAAACAAGGGTGATGTTCTGAGGCGAAACGTCATACCATGGGATAGAACGCGGGTTCCAACACACTGATCCATTATGACTCTGAAATATAACGCTGTCGTAAATATCATATTTTCCTTTCGTCTTCATTGTCTCAGAGGCCGGTGAACTCCGGTCTTGGAGCAATGGGATTTGTGGACAGTGGCACATAGCTCCGAATGGCCCACAAATGGCCGCCTACCGTGTACGGGCGTCAAATTCAAAACGTTAAAACTTGAGTAAATGTACCCAATGTAGAGGGAAGGTTACGATATTTTTTGCCTTATATTTCAACATGAGCATGCCTTTCACCCAAGCTGACTTCTCAGATACAACAATCATATGTGAAAATAACCATCTTGGGTTGCGGATTTGCTCATTTAAACTTTCACTTGAAGTTTTTGACACTTTTCACCCATTTTAGCCGTACTTATGTATCTGAACATGTCAGAACACTTTTCAAAGTATTCTGAAATTTAAAAATGTGCCAGTTCCAGAGGGTCTACTCCTCATCATACCTCATCTTTCCCTATCTTCGTTTATTTCTGGCGACATTTGTCGTCAGCACGAATTAGTTACAATCAAAAGACATGCAACACATAATAACTTGCGTGTCATCAAAATGACAATTTGATTAACGTTCTCACTCGTCATGAAAATGTGCAAATGTCAACATAAGACATGTTTACCATTGTTTCAATAACGATCGTAAAGTCTTTGCCATCGGGGCTGACCAGTGAAACATAGCTTCCTCCTCGAGTCAGTTTCCCAACACCAGAACCGTGCTTCAGATATTTCCACCCAACTCGGGTAAACTGTGTTGTGTGGGCTAAAACATATTATGTGAGCATAAAGACACATGGACTGTGTCAAAAGTATTTCTATGCAGTTAACCAATTTAGGTCATATCTTTTTATAAAAGCTATTAGAAATTTAAATAACAAACCTTTAAGATGTGTCAATGGCTTGAAACTGAGGGAATCCTACTAGATACGTCACATGTTCTCATGTTAAAAAACGGAATGACCGTTTCATTGTGCAAGCTAGACAAATATCCCAACTATACCTACCTGTGACCCAGATAGGACTGGACACTTCATAATGACCACTCCACGGCTCCAAAGCGTTCATCAAACCGTGACCAAAGTAAGGAAGGTCAAAATACCAACTTGTTATCAACGCCCAGGCAATACAGCTAGCCGCAAACAGATGAATACATTGTATTAGCAGCCCACGGATTGCACTGGCAACCCATCGGTAGTTTAAGTAAATCATATATACGTGTATTGTGTGAAGTTATGTTTCATATATTTGCATTATTCAACCAGAGATGACTGTCAAACTGTTTTTTGTTACCAAGCTGTTAACTGATATGAGAGATCTGACAATATAAGTTCAGTTTATTGTTTTTCAAGGCCATATCACCCATATTACAAACATGTATATCATGTACAGTCATATTATGCCTCACAATGAAAATATTCTTACCCTGTCAAGTTTCCGTTTACATAGTTTTGATTAAGTGTCTGCAAAAGTAAAAACAAGAATAAGATTTTATGCCGCTTTTAACAATATTCTTGAAATATCACGGCGTCCAGAAATGGGAATCGAACCCTGAGTCAATAAATAGACATGTGAGAATATGAATTGTGATTACAATCAGTGTGATCACTCATCCTGCATTATCTTTCCGATTTAAGATCTAAATCACAAATACCACCGTGACGTTGGCTTCTCGTCTCCGTTTTCCCCAAGAAATGCTATGTTTGACTTGTTTGTCGATCAACTTCAGTATATAATGCCAATTTCAAAACCTACGTGCGAAAAAAGTTAGCGATATATTTTCAAATAAGAAGAAATTGAAAATCATCCGTGATGAAGATTACTCGCCCTTGCCCAGCATCCCGCCCCCGTCTGGTTGTTGAAGGTACTGTAGTCCTCTGACGCCCATAGTGGCTTCCCCGTGGCAATGGCAGATGCGGAGGAATAGGTCCCAGGGTGATGCACACTGTATATCAATGTTTCATTATTACGACCAATACAATCATACCATAGTATATCAATGGTTATATTATATGTTTTCAAGAAAGAAGTTATCATCTATAAAATAGCTTGTCTTTACTACCATATGTTTTCAATATTCAAACTCATAGGAGAGAATATTTAAGGCTTGCACCGATACGCTCCCATATATAGTTTTTTACTGATTTACTTTCTATTCCTTGTCAAAGTATCGCGGACACTTCATGTCAACAACTAATTACTATTCTTAAGCGTCACTTTTTCACTTTTTGCAGGACTTTTTGCTACGTGTAGAAGATTAATATCGGTGATCACGATGTGGCTGGCTGGCTATCGTAATGTGCAAGCGTACCCCGATGGCATGGCTGTGCATGTCTACTACTATGTACCCTATTCCATAAACTGCTGCTGCCAACTGCGGATCTGCAAGTATTTCCGCTGTTAGTGTCTTCCAGGAGTAAGCACTGGCATAATCGGCAGCAATGATCTTTGTGCCCACTAAACCATTTGCATCAAGGTCCTTTCTCAAAGTCTGTAAAACACAAAGGGTAATTTACAGTCACTAGCGACAGCTATTGAGAACATATTTGTTTTATTATATATGATATTTAATTACTTCATCTATTAAAAGACTGTATACTGACCTTAATATATGTTGTATTGTACATCCTCTCGTTCCATATCTAACAACGAAACAGAATAGATACATTGCGATTTAATCCTAAATAAATTTAATCCCTTTTCAAAAAGGGACATGTACATGTATATATCAAGATTGAGATGTTGCCACTGACAGGCATCAGTCGAACATATACAGAACATCAATGCTGAACTTATGGTTACACCTTTCATTAAGTTGACATACTTGTTTCTTAAATTATCAAATTATATTTATTATAAAACATCATTACTAAGTAAGTATTGTTTCTTCTTTACATACCCCGATGTAATCCACTGTTAGATTGTAGTGAACCTTAGCCCCGTTTATCCACTTAACGACGTACATAGATGTCCGATCAGGGTCATCATAAATGTTTCCTGTGCTTCCTCCAACCCAGCCAGGGAATCCCCACGGGAGGCCATATAGTTTTATGTCTGGATTACGCTGTAGAGATAATAACAATTAAAAGCATTTTATGATTAGAGCTGGATGTATCAGCTGAGTTTCTGGTCCAGTAAGGTTCTAACGAACACATTGGTCTCATCCGTTTGTCCGTTACTTTATTTATTTAGTATTTATCCCCTATCCCATAAGATAAGACTTCATGTTCACTATATGCTACTTCGTTACATCCGGAGTAGTACCTTCTTTGCCTCCATCATGAGCCACCATTCATACCCCCGCTCATAGTTCTCCTCGTCCGGTGTTCTCATGTGGGTGGACTCGGTCCCATCTTAAAGATATATATGAATGCAATGTGAACACATGTTATTGTAAATATATGTGTTTACTTACATACAAAACATTTTCAACAAATAGATGTCATATGCCAACCTTTGGGGATAAATCTCATCGCCCTTCTGGATACGAGTGTTCTCTTCCACTTTGGTGTTACAAAAAAGAATAACAGGCAAGTTTACTGAACAAATATTTGCTAACATCATCAAATGTAAATAGTCTATAGATCTGTAATAAACCCTACCTGTACTTTGGGTGTCGCTCCCAATTTCTACTTTAAGAATTTGAAGCGAAGCTCCGAAGTTTGGCTGAAAGAGGTCAGGGGAGAAAATACTAATTGATAAAATATGCAGAAACTATGTTAGTATTACAAGATATGATATATTTTCACATGAGCTGTACCATGAATACGGTTCGTTGGTCATGGATCAGGGCAATGTAAGGATTATTCTGGTTGATTTACCTTGAACAAGTAATCCAGAATCTCATTTCTTTGCTTATCAGGGTATCCAACAAGTAGTTTTGACGTTGCCTGCAAGAACATACACATTGAGAGATATGGCAGAGGTGGAGTAGTTGTCCTAGATTATGAGCACGTTTAAAATTGAGGGTTGAGTGTTCATGAGATTCCGACTCAGGCAGTGGCGTAGTTATTGGTTCTCGATTAAATGTAGATTTCCACTGCAATCTGCACAATCACATGGTATACAGATGGTTCATAAATAATCATGTATGTGCGCTACAAACCAGTGATTTATAGTACATCCATAGTAAATACGCTGTGTAGAATATCAGAAACAGCACCTTACCCCGCCTCCGCTTATGGCTCCTATCCCATCAAAGACACGACCCAGGCCAGGGGTGTCGTCAAAATTATACACCTCAAACGAACAACACGATTTCCATTGAACTAAACTTAGGAGGGCTGGTAATAACATGTATTCGGTTAGACGAAGCTTGAACATCGTTGAACATAGTCACAAACACCTTTGTGAATGACCCTGTCTGTCGCGGTACTTATACTTATGAGTCTTATAGAGGTATTGTACTTATTTCGTTATCATAGTCATATCAAATGCCGCGAGAGATTAACAGCTGCTATGTGGTCAGTAACGGTGCCCTTATTTCAAAAGCACAAAATGTATTGTAAAATTATGTAAAACGACTTTCAAACACTGGTTTGCCTGGCCCTGAATCGAATATTAACAAGCCTTCGTAGACATAATAGAATGTTGATATATAGGTGGGTAAACAAAGATGGTGTTAGTTTCTACATTGTAATAAAGAAGTTGTATGTCCATAATACTACATCCCTTGTAGAACATAACGGTTGGTCATCACTTAAATGACAGTCAGGAAACCAATGGATTTTAATAATATTTATTAAAACGCATTGTGCTTGAAAAATCATGAGATCGTATTTGCCTGTTGTGCGAATTGTACAATAAGTGTGATTAACATATAACAGTTACCACTACTATCAGTGTATGGACATAACTCTAAGAACAAGTGTCAACTTCGGCAGAACATTGCTGACCTTGTAAACAACTGTTTTGCTACTTTAATACAGTCTGAGAGAAAAAATCAACGTCTGTCGTTATCAAACTGCAGAACTTACTATCTGAAAGATGGATACATAAGCGAACAACCATTCTCAGATTTAATTGTGGAGCCTCTAGAAACATTATAACCATCCAAACAATTAGTGTCTGATGTACCATATACAAATGTTTCTACAAGACAGATTATTTGTAATTTGCGTTGGTCATATTACCAACTTCTACCAAATGTTGAAAGTTAAGTACTTTCATATTCTCCTCACTTTCAAAGTCCTCCACATTGGTCAGTGGAAACGCATTTTGGGGCTTCGGGTGTTTCCCTTTATTTTCGTCAACGTCATCAAGGTGAAGGTCGTTTCCTGGTAGGTAGTCAGATTGAAGGTCCCGTTTATGATCTGTTATTAAGGCCATAGTTCCATAACAAAATAAAAGGTAACCTCACTTATTCCGTTAATATGTGAAGTCAAATTATATTTACGTGTTTATTCGAACCATTTAACAGTTCCAACTGTTACAACTACCAGTTAAGTTGAAGGTAACGCAGTTTGAAAAAGAGCTTCTTAAAATGAAACTGAAAACATGAAATCTAAAATAACCTAAAGATCCGGACATTAAACTGAAAATTAAACACTATTATGCAATGGCAAAGGATGAAATTGAGTTATCAATATATGTTACATTAATTACCTTTTCCCCAAACAGCTAAATGCTATTCACCAATTCCTTTACTTATAATATTTGCTATTTACATTCCAACTCCGCCAAAACGTCACGCGTTGTGATGTCACCACGACGTCGCAATCCTCACTTCGTCAAATCTCTTCACTTCTCACCTTGTGTCGTCTTCCGCTGCCATGTTGGTCACGAGCTGTTTTTAAATCATCCACCCACCCTCCCTGTGCTCAGGCTTCATTCATGTACATTTCGGGGCACGGGTGGCCCAGTCGTCCAATGCGCCGCGATTCGCTGTGAAGGGTTACGTCCCATGGGCACGCCAGAAACCTATGATTGTATGTTCGAATCCCGGTTCACCCCGATTATGTTTCTAGGTTTGTCAGGACCATACCCGTGCTCCCTGGTTTCACCGAAGGGGTAAGAGACCTGCATCACTTCGGACATTCCTCCAACATTAGGCTGACACGCCGCAATATAATTGGAATAATGTTAAAAGTGGCGTTACAACCCAACTCACTCACTCACTCACTCACTCATGTACATTTCAGAGTCAATGCTTGTTATTTTTCTGTTTGAATAAAAGTCACGTTGTCGTCGTAGTTTGTGAGGGCACAATCCATATCACCGGGCAGAAACCACAATGGTAGCTCTACTATGCTGGTTGCCTGCTTCACTGCGGGGGCCCATGTATCCAGCCTGCAGATCTTCAGCGGGGGGATGCTATGGCATAGCGTTAATTTGTCTGTTCAGGGTCCATCAGAAAGCCGGTTCATTTGGGACATAAACAATGCATTTCTATCTTATCGAATAATGTGAACTTCCCTTCTGGATATTGTTAAATAATGGCATCCTCCCACATATCATCTGTTTCTGAGTGAGTCCATCAGTACGAAAGTTTGGTTTAACTCAGGTTTAATTACGCCTGTATGCAGATATGTCACACTGGGAGTACTGGCGGCATATGATCATTTAAACTCAACAACTGAATAAAAACCTAAGGTAAACCAAACATTGGAATTAAAGGCATTTTTACTCCATTGGCATGGTTGACGAAACATCATTATGCACTATAATGGCACATCGACTGTGGTCTGTTACTTTATATGTTTCAAAATAACAGCATAATAATTCAAATCAAACTATTATTTTCAGTACCGGTACAGAAACTCTTATTTAGTTGACAATTTAAACTTGACCTTTAGCTACTATTTTCTAATAGCCTCCACATTGATACAATCTATCAGTTGCTGGACCAAAGAGCCATATTCTTTATTCCCTGATAAATATAATGCTTACATAATAAATCAACAGTTGACATTTTAAAAAAAGAAATAATATCATTACCTCGTTATCACTGAAAAAAATGGTTCTAAGACTCACACCGCGTCCGACGTCATGGCGTCTTCTAGGATTTTGACTTACAGAGTATAATAGATAATGTTAGGGAGTATACAACCCCAGAAACTGTCAGACTCTAAAATTCTCATAGCCATCTCACTCTATCGGGTACCCATTAGCAGGGGTCAATTTGAGACAAAGTCACATGCCTCTGGAGACATCACATGTTGCATCACATGTGTTTTAGTACGTGTCAGGACCAACGCCCTCAACGAATCAGGTTTGCCGACGCGCTGTCCACACACTCTCCGCTGCCAGCATTGTCTTACTTCACCTAGTTAGTCATATATGCTCCCCGAAAACGTCTACTTGCCATTAATAAAACAGAATTGATATAATTCAAAAAGCGATTTATGGGTTTGGTAGCATATTAAAACCACAATGAAGTATTCTGAGTATTCTGAGAAGATACCACACATTACATAATGCCTTATGAGAAACTACAACGCGTTAAGTTTTTACAAATTAGAATATATTTACCTAATCGGTTTTGATATAGGAATAAGAAAGATTATAAAGAGGAATGTGATCATTTATTATAAACGTAGTCAGTTTCTTCGTTTGTTTGTTTGTTTGTTTGTTTGTTTGGATGAATTCATTTTCATTCGTTGTGTAGCGACATAGTAGTTACTTACATCATGCTTCGTTCTTCAACAAAATATAATATTGTTACTGCAAATAAACGTAGAGGGATACGTTCAATGCTACAAAAAAACCTTTCTTAGTTGTAAACGAAAGAAGAATGTGATACATTTCTATTAAGAATATATCTTTTTATTGATATGATCTACAAAAAAGGTAGTTTTAGCTTCAAATTGTCGAAGTCGGCGTAACCATATGACCCCGACCCGACCGCCGCCATGCCACGTTTGATATCAGATGGTACAGTGACGTTGAACATCATGTTGCTGTTGATGAAACCTGTTGCCCGAGTGTCCTGGAAAATAAACACGATGAATGCATTATTTTGCCAGACTTAAAACACGTAACTGATAAATCAGTAAATATTGTTCAATGTTAATATTTTCAAGATTTGAAAATGTCCGAGCACTCTTAAAGAGGGACTACCATGGGTAGTAAGACGTCGGTTATTCATATCAGTTTCTGTAAAACTTTGATAATCAAAGTCCATACCGTACTATTCAAATCCATACCATTTCCAATGTTCAAAATTAATGCATAGATAAGGCAAACCTAGCAAGATAAGGCGATTTTGTTTTAATGTTTGACGAATAAGACTAAAGATGAATGTAAATTCCAACCAATTACCACTTATTTATTTAGGACATCTGAAATGCCTGTATTGTACTTCTCCGTTTAAAGGAGTCGGTATGTACAACAGTGGCAATGATTACCAGTTTTACCAAGCAGGTACGTAAGTAACTGAAAACAGAAATGATCAATACCTCGAGAGTAAGTGACACTGTGTTCCAGGTGAGATCGACAAGCATCCTTCCGGATGCCAAGACAGTTTGCATGTCTGAAACAATGTGAAAGCAAAATATATTCATTACCTTTATCCGTTCTGTATCCGATAGGCCCACAGTTCAAAATATGCACAAGGCTCGTCTAACTAATAATGTATGATGTATGTACGATGCAATATTTTGTAATAATGTTACATTTGAGGTTGACATGAGTATGCAAAACAAATTGATATTTGGATAAGATATAAACGGTTTGGGAATATATGTGTTTGCACACGACGTTGTCAGACTTTTGAAATATTCCTTTATCTATAAATCATAATAACTTGCTCTGAATTGAGTGAGTGAGTGAGTGAGTATGGTTTTACGCCGCTTTTAGCAATATTCCAGCAATATCACGGCGGGGGACACCACAAATGGGCTTCACACATTGTACCCATGTCGGGATTCGAACCCGGGTCTTCGGCGTGACGAGCGAACGCTTTAACCACTAGGCTACCCGACCGCCCTGCTCTGAATTGAGCTAGCGAGAGGCGGATGGTTTTGGTTGTAACAGATAGTAGATATTATTCGAGTATTACTTGCTGTTTGAAGAGAGAATACATATATGTACACTGCTATTTCTTAATTTTTCTATCCGCATTTGCTGAAAACAATCTTTAGCTCTTTTGAGCTCTAATGTCATAAACATATTGCTATTTCCAACGCCCTGATCCATCAATGCGTATCCGTGGCCTAAACTGAAAAGGGTGTTTTTCATATTTGTTGCCCAATGTTTTTATTACGTAGTGACTGGCATTTTGAGTGAGTGAGTGAGTGAGTGAGTGAGTGAGTGAGTATGGTTTTACGCAGCTTTTAGTAATATTCCAGCAATATCACGGAGGGGGACGGCAGACATCTGCTTCTAACATTGTACCAATGTCGGGAATCGAACCCGGGTCTTTGGAGTGACGAGCGAACGCTTTAACCACTAGGCTACCCGA